TATAAAGTTAACGATTATCTAGTTGATAAAAAGGGGCCTGGAACTAGTGCTAGACAGGCTAATTCTAACTAATTTGCGATTTTTGTTTTAAAATAAATGTTGTTAGATGATTTGCTATTTCAAAAGAGTACCGAGAGTTTTTTACGCCGGCTTTTTCTCTAGGCCTACACCCTCTGTCTTCTTTGCCGATGAGTAGGGATGTCTACCGATTCAAATTTAATGACGTGGAATAAGTGATACCTGTATCTTATATTCCATAAAAAAACATATTTTATTTTTAGGAGTCTCAACAGAACAGATAAGTTAGTGGTTTTAAACGTAAGTAGAAAACTTACCTGCATTATACTTAGGGTAGTTATCTTGTTGTGGGATAACTTTGTTCGGTGCAGTAACGTACTGCAATCGTGTTTTTGGATAAACATTATTAATTTGTTCAGTGGTTTGGTCGTATGCGGTGAACGCTGGCATAATTTGGTTATTGAGAATGTTATTGTGAATTTCTGGTTCAGGATATAACCGTCCATTGTACATTTGTATCGGCTCACTTTTGGTCTGTTCCAAGGGCATTATCTGAGTATTGTTGGCGGTGCCTAAAATTTATTTCTAATATAAAATATATATTTTTGACGTATATAAACAACGACCGTTTTTATTAAATGCTTAGTCTCTGATCTAATGTTTGAAGACGATTTAAAGCTGCTATATTGGTTGTTAATCAAGCAGTGTTGGCCTAGTGGCTTCAGCGCGCGACTCTCGTGCCTGGTCTTAGGTTCGATCCCCGGCTGTGCACCAATGAACTTTCTTTCAATATGCGCATCTAACATTCGCTCGAACGGTGAAGGATGACATCGTGAGGAAACCGGCTTGCCTTAGAACCAAAAAGTCGACGGCCTGTGTCAGGCACAGGAGGCTGATTACCTACTTGCCTATTAGATTGGCAAATGATCATGAAGCAGGTACAGAAATCTGAAGCTGGGCTGGCGATCTGAGTGAGTTGTTGCCCCACATATTTTTATGGTGCCACTGGCGGTATTGCTGTGTACCGGGTTGTGCAGCTCCCGCAAAAATGGTTGAGCTGCATGAGCTATTCGGGGCATGCTTGCCGTCTGCTGGCACAGGCTTGCTCAGATCGATCTGGTTCTTTCTTCCAAAGACCAGTCCAGTAAATACTCTGCATTTGTTTACACCAATTTATTAATTTATTATTGTATTATCTGGACTATAAAAGAGACTAAGACCCCCGAGTTTGTTTCGACATTTCTTCTCAGGGCAGTCAGTTAGGAAATGTCGACTTCATCTAGTTTAGTATGACATTGTAAAAGTGATTTATATAGTCCTACTTGCAAGAATAAACTATTTCATTTCATTTCAGCCCAGACTTAAAAAACTGATTTATTTAATTTAATTTTATGAACAGAATAATGTCAACGGTATGTATGAACAGAATAATGGTAACGGTTATTTGCACCAAAGTAATTAAAACATTACTAAATAGGTTATATACGGAAATAAACCAAAACGTGTCTGCGCATATACTAATAGTTCTTGTGAATAAAAATGAACGTAAAAGCATAGTGTTATTTTACGTAACATTATGAAATAATTACCATGAATGGTCATTTGACTCGTCGGCATTGTTGCTGGGGTTGCGTGACTTCCAAGGTAATTTTGGGTTGAATACGAATCAACCGACATTCCACTCCTGTACATGGTATCTTCAGTGGGTATCGTCGTTTCTTCGGGAACGGAAGGTAGGCGAGATGTCGACGTTAGAAGATCTTTGGGAATACATACAAATATAATCAAGTTGGAAGTTATGCAACAAATATAATGTATAACTTCCAAACGAACGCACTTATTATATTATAAAAACCACTTTTAATAGTAAGTTAATTAGACAATACTGTCAGAGATCTATACGAAACGAATGAACACGGACGAAGCTAGTTTATACTATATAGAAGCTAGTTCACACCCCACATACATACCCTCACTTTCACATTACCACACAAAACACAGGCGAATTAGAAATTAGTTTTTTTTAAATTAGTTAAATGTATTTAATATTTTTTATTGATTGTTTCCTTTCGTAAAAGTGAAGTTGATCTTTTTGTATATTTGTAGTCCATCTTTGGCTATATCTTTAGTATAATTAGTTTATGAATTAACAAAAAGCAGGTGAGAAATTACCATGAAGGGGTTCCAACGTGTCCATAAAATCATCAAGATTAGGCTGCAGGGGACCTAAGCTTGGTTGTATGAAGTCAGCTAAGCTTGCACCCCTAGCTAAAATTAAAACCAACACATGTATCCATGCTCAAAGTGCAAATAAACAGACTACTAGGCACGGTAAATACCAATTTCCCGGCAATCGGGGAAAGCGAATGGTTGGTGACTGGTAATTGTGGAAAATAGTGTGTCGCTCATGAAATTAAGATAATCCTCGTCGGTCAGCATATTTCCCGCGAGGTCGCTGCACTGGGACTCCACCGTGTCCATATCCGACATCTGAAAACCGGACAGTTGAAACATCTGAAAAAAATGTTTCGCAACCATAATAATTTATAACAATTCTTGAAAATGAGGTTATTATCTGTTTCGTTGGTTTATAACTTGTCTGGCACGTGCTAGATAACATTCTTAATATTGGTCTATGGTAATTTGTTGTGCAACTCACTGTATCCTGGACAGAGGTGTCCCCCTTTCCAAGGAGTCTCATTATATGAAACATGCGCCATTTTTTGTATTCTGCAATTACGGCTTCAGCTCTTCGTTTCCAATACTTTCCTTCTAAAATTGTTGTCTGAAAATATAAAATTATTTATTTATTCACATAACACACTCGAAAGGTATTAAATGTATCGAAACTTACTTCTGGTTTAACGTGTGTGTCTACATCCAAAGGAGACGCAAACTGGCAGACCAAAGTATTCTGTTTTTTAATAACTGAAAAAAAATCTATTATGTAACAACTGGTACTCGACACTAGTGTAATTATTTAAAATATTAGTAACAATAAAAACCCTTCTTATATCATTGTTCTATCATCTAGCTAATTATAAACGATAATTATAATTTATTTATTACCTTAGACCTTTTTTGTTGCGTTTACATTTATCAACTTATATCTAAAATTCTAAAGCTTAGTCGTAACAGATATTTTTTCTTATAAAACATTTTTAAATTAAGAATAATTTTAAATGCCAGATATGTGTACTTGCTTACAGTCAATTTATCTCTGAAAGCCATTCGTAACGTAAGCACAAGCTGATAAGGAGTTGTTACGATTTCTATTGCTAAATGCAATCAGACTCAAACAAGTCTTTTCCAGTATCAAAAAACATAGCACTTAGTGCAATGTAGAATCGGTTTATCAAAGGTAAATGACCTTTAGTAATATAGCATTCAATATTTCTAGTTTTATGTATGTATTACATTAATTACATGTAAATCCTATTATTCAATACACATTTACACTGTATTGTTTATTAGCTTTGTTCGATTGAAAATAGTTCCCTTATAATTTATTATTAACTGGTTCTCATATGAGACAATTAATTGAAATCCCATTCAATGATATATATGACGTTAACTACAATTACCTTAATTACTTCAACAATTGGCATATGACAAACCTTATGTGGAACTGATTAATGGCCTATTTAGGTTTTCTATAAGAATATATATGTATATTAGTTTAACAATTTCAATTTAGGATACAACAATCAAATATGAATGTTGTAATGTAAATAATATTCTGTAATTATAATTATATTGGGTTTTTTCATTTACTTACAAATAATAAAAAAATAACTTACACTGCATATGCCAACACCTCCATATAACGTTATTTAACCTTATTTTGTCCTTCCAGCGAAGCTTTATACCTTTAAAACGATTCCATTTGGGTGATGTAAGCTTTTGTCTAAAATAATTAATTAAATATTAACTATTAATAGCACTTACCATTCTCAACTTAAACACTTTTTTATATTGATAAGTGAACACACAAGTTTATCAGAAATGGTAGAAGTCTTTAGTATAATAGAAAACATTTTCAAAGAGTTAAATATTAAAAACAACATGTTCAAGAATTATAAAGAAAACCAAGACACAAATCTACAGCGTTACTGGTTTACACTGTGGCTGCCGTGACAATGGCTGACGGTAGAGTATCTTATCTTCCTTATTATCAAAAGGATCTTAAGCTTATTTTAAATAACTGTTTGATAAGAGCGCCTGGATGTTTCTTATCTGTCTCTAACACTTGAAGTCTATAATGGTATTATTTTATGTCTCAAAACTAGTCCTAAATTTTGTCATATAAAAATAAAATGATTATATAAGTTCTATGAAATTACATACTACAATTTTACTTATATTTTTTAAGTTTCATGCAAAATGAATTAAACAAACCACCATCCAGATATAAATTCTATCTTTTTAATTCTTCTTGAAAATTTAAAAATAAGATCATTACAAGCATACAAGAAACAAAGCTACTGCAAATATGCAACCGTTAAAGAAACATCAATTTTCTGATATTTGTTTAGACTGTTACAGTTATAACTAACAAGTACTTGTAATGAAATTAAGTATAATATTGCATAATATCATTGAGTAATATTCTTTCCGTATGTGCTAAGTTCATTTATTATTATGGAAAAGTGTAAAAAGTTTCTCGACATGATATTAAAAGATTATAGCTTTAGTGATATTTATAAATACCCTATTTACAGACAGACTTATCACTTCAAATGACCTGTGTCTTTGGTGAGGACTCTGATGACCTTTTCTTATCTTTGCACACCAAAACCAATCAGAAAGTATGTTTCCTTATTTTATTAAGAAGTTTCATAAGAGTTTGGTTTATTATTGTTATCTCTAAGGTTATTATTCACCCTTTAAGTTATAGAGTTGAGTGGAAAACACACTATTTACATATAGATTCAACCTAAACATGACCTTTTGTTTTAATAAAGATATAGCTACAAAGTATATCTAAATCCCTATAATGGAAAATAACTAAGGAAAATTAAGTTTAAGAAATAAGTTTTTCAGTACTAAATATTAGCTTTAAAATATTAAAATATTACCTGTAGGCGAGTGTCATACATTTAAAAAGTTTATTAAGAGATATCTCTATAGAAAGTTGTTGATGTTGTATACTTTCTTCATTATCTATCAGATGGAATGTTTCAGTAGTTACAGGAACTGTGTATGTTGCTACAACAGATTCCTTAGGTGTAGTCTGCTCCTCGTCAGGAACAGGAACTGCTAGATCGTCATAATCATCTTGCTCTTCAGCTTCAAAATGCGACACCATAAAATGGCCAGAATGTATTGCCTCTTTCCCCTGCCTCGATTGTTGTTTTTCCACATGAGTCATGTTGCTAGTGCCGTTACGTACGTGGTAGTTTTCATCAATAACTTATAAAATAAATATAAAATTACTTCAGGGGTCAGCTTTTGGGCTTATCCATATCCATATTTCCACTTATCACTATCACTCACATTGTTTTTTTCCACATGCCTGACATCGGGGAATTGACTGGTGTCTAACGTCAGACAGGTAAAGTTTTGAAATGTTATTAACATCTTTGACAGCGGACCCAACCATAGAATAAATATTTTGAAACATACTGTATGTGAAATTGCATTAGTGTGAGTACTGTGAACCCGCCAGCTTTCGATAACCGACCTATAATAACGTAAACTAAAAATAAAAAAAGCGTTCGTTTACTATTTTAGCGCAGTTTCTTGATTACGTTCGATTTATGAGAAATTAAATAAGACGACTATCACTCTGTGCTGTCAAGTACTATAGATGTAACTTACTCTACCTTTTTTTGACATTTGTATTTTTATTTTGACTTACTTTTTTAGTTACAACTTATAAGTTATTTTCAAATGTCTATCTATGACTATGACTATGATAAAGTAGCGTCAAGGTTTTCAAAGAATTGTTCACGTTGAAAAATTCGGAATATTTTAATTATTACATTTATTAAAATAAATAAATTAAAGACTTATTAGATTTAAGAAGATGCAGTCACTCCAAGCTTCATCTCCAGCAATGTCTCCTTCTTACAAAAACTTGAAGTACAAGCATTGCCATTCACCAGTCGAATTAAAAGATAAAATGCGAAAGGTATATTATAAGATTGACTTTTATTTTACCTCCATTTTATAAACAGTATTTCTAGATGTATATTATGTGACTACTACAAGATTTCTTAAATTACTGTAGTGAAGAAAATTAAATTTTCTAAGCTTTATAGGCATTTTGCTACACATCACTAATTGAAACAAAATTTCTTTAAGGATTACAAGACCAAGATTCAGCACTGTAGAGATATGCTGTTAAACAGGTTTAGAGAATCCAATGTAGAGAATGAACTTCAATGCACATTAAATGAGTTATATAAAAAAACCTTTAATTTTACTGAAACATTATCTTTAAATGAAGAAGAAAATGAACTATTAGAGGAAATAAAAAATGAACTAATTCAAGAAGAGCTTAAATGGTTTGTTTAGACTATTAATTAGTTTATAATCTATTAAATATAAGTACAAATATAGTAGGAGCATAATCATAATTTTATATTAACTTTTAATGACTAAAAATGTTTTCATATATTTATTCCAATTATTGACTTTTAGTTAAATTTTTATTTTTATAGGTTGAATGAAGAATATGAAAAATCACAAATGGACAACATTGATTGGTCTTCATATCAAGTTGAAGACCATGTTATTTGCCCAATTTGCCAAAAGAATAATTTAAAACTTTATGACGGGCTACTTAAATGTGACATATGCCATATGGAGATAAGGACCCAAATAACGTCTCTAACAGAAATCAAAAGTAATATTTTTAAATCAATGGACAAACATACTTCTGAATGTCATACCCAGTTTTCAATAATTTCTGAAGGAGACCAAAGCCATATTTATCTAATATGTGATAGTTGTTTCGACATACAATTAATTGTTTAAATAATAATTTTTCCACTAATACCTAATTTAATATAATTTCATATTTAATTGTTACTTAAAATTGGTTTGTTTGAAAATTTAAGATGATTATTAAATAAAACAACAATGTACAAAATAAAAATGACCTTTTTAATTCAATTTATGAAGCCTGGTAACAAGGTATAATATTGTTAATTATTTTTATACTCTGTCACATTATATTCATATTCAGGTTAGAACATTTTAATACATAATATGAGAATAAGTCCTACCAAACATTAAACTAATCGGTAACTTGTATAAAATGTACATTAATAATTTATAATAATAGTATAAAACAGTACCATTTATGTTACGGACACAATACATCGGCAGCATTTGTAGTTCAATTGATTCTTAGTATAAAATGGTCAGCTATGTGAATTATTCTAGGCCTGTAAAAAATTGTTAACATTATCATATAATTTGTTTCATATTAGGTAGTAAGTGTTAATACATTATTTCAAATTACCAATTTGTTATTAACTTGTCAATATTTACTATTGACTATTGATATTATATTACCTAATTATAGTCAACTATTGTTTTCTATAAAATATTTCAGTGCAAACTAGATTTTTAAACTATTCTTATATATATCTCTCATTGTTATTGTGGCTTCCATTCAAGAAAAATTGTAACTTATTTCCTATGGAAATATTGAGTATGGTGTAATAAAAAAATATTTAGAAAAAGATAAACAATTGAATAATCGGGTTGCAATTGAATAATAATTAGGTATTTATTGGTGACAATAAAATTGTATTTAATTAAAATCAAAATAGGATAATATACATGGTTACTCAAGCACAAATCAAACTTACTATATAGGTAAACCTTGTACATCCATAAGATCTTCAGGTTGAGCGTGTGAGTGGGAAGCCGGTGGAATAGTGAAGGCAGTATGGTGGTGAGGTCTAGGACGCCGCGGCGAGCGAGCATTGATTACGCGAGGCTTGTGGATCTCATCCATAACTGATGGTGCAACATATGTGAATCCCTGTAAATTAGAATTTTATTGAATTCACTGAGATTTAATCACTTGTATCAAGGGTATTTAGGTGTCTAGTCTGGAATACTGAATCAAACTTCCTGGAGCACTAGGACTTTCTATATAACCATTCATTGACGGTCTAGTGGTTAGTACCCCTGACTGACCTGGGTCCGGGTTTTTCCCCCCCGGGAAAAACAAAAATTGTTTTGGTTTTTTTTTTTTTTTTTTTTTTTTTTTTTTTTTTTAAATATGTGGCCCTTTTTTTTTTTTCTTCTTTTTTTTTTTTTTTTTTTTATATGTCTATTTATCTATAATATGTATGTATAATGTAATCCGTTGCCTAGTACCCAAAACACAAGCTTCCCCCACTTCTGGTCAATCATATATTATTATTCTGTATGTATGTGGACCAAACATGAATAGTAATTGAATTTTGAAATATGCTAAGTGGCTATGTGTATTATATTTTATTCTAAAGAAAACAAGAGGTGCATGACCTATTTAGTATAGTTTAAAACAGAAGCAGGAAAATACATTTCCATTAATTAATATTACTTATAATTTCCGTATATACATAATATACAGAAACCTCTACGATAGTGATGACGGCAACAAATGTTATTATACAATATCAATTACTTATTTGTTAGGACATGAACGAGTTGACATATTTGTTTTGGTCAAAATAAAATTTCGTGTTTTTAAGTTACCTGAAACATTAGGTTAGCGCTTTCACTGAGTGTTGATTCATCTGGTGAATCAATAGGAGTCTGTAGAGTAAATCTTGTGTCAAATTGAGATACATCATCTTCACTTGTCTGTAAAGAAAGAAGATTTAAACTTCTTAAGTCATAACATTGTTTGCCATAATTTACCCACGCTCAGCACCCTTTCAATTTATTTAAATTGTCGCAATAACAATATTTTATTTTTTTGAAAAATTATTGCTCTTATGAGATGTATATTACAAGGTTATGTATAAAGTTTCACAAATAGATGGTTATTGTTTTAAAGCAGCTTACCATATTGTAAACAAGCCATTTATTCCTAGTAAACTGTTGTAATCAGGAATTGGTAAAATCATAAAATTTAACATACCAATTTAGGCTTGATAGGAGGCTCTAATCTACGAGCGAATACATCGTCCCAGTGAACATGTTTGAAGAAAGCATGTCCACGCACCGCGGCAGCCCCGGCAGCTCCTAAGCGCTGAGTTTCGGAACGTTTCATAAGACGTCGAATCAATTCGCGAGCGTCTTGTGTGAGGTAGGCGGGCAATATAAGTTTACCTTTAAGGATTTTTTCTATTGTCTTTGTACGATTATCTCCAGTGAATGGTGGCTGTAAAAGTATTATTTTAATTGCTAATATAGCTGTCTCCATAACTGGGTTTAGAGACATTGTGAGGCAATACAAATTCTAATTGTAAATTCATGCGTGCAACATGCTTCGCTATTTAATGTTTTAAATGTTTTACAGCATACAAGGAATCTGTTTATATGAACCATTCTGTTTCTTTAACTTACTTGTCCAATTAACATATCGTACATTAAAGCACCTAGACTCCACCAATCAACAGCTTTTCCATGACCACTCCTTGTCAATATCTCAGGAGCCCTAAAATATTTTAAAAGATCTCTTATATTCGGTTTGTTTTATTGGACAGCTGTTAGAGGATACATGGAACCTTGGATAATAAAAAGGCCACTCTTTATCCTAATTGTAAACAGATATACCCAAGGGCATCATCTACTTATGTGTACTATCTATGATAATAAAAATAACATCTGAGAATTCCTTTTTACATATAAATTGAATTAAATAGTTATAAGCACACCTGCCATACATTTTGCTATATTGTTAAAGATCCAACTAATGTTGGGGTACATAGATGGGGTATCCTAAACAAACTGAAGTTTGCGCCACACAAGACCAAAGCCATGGTGGTGACGCGCAAACTGAAGTATGATACGCCACGGCTAAATATGAATAATGTACCGATACAGATGGATAACCACATTCGAATTCTCGGAGTTGATGTGGATGCTAGACTCACATTTAACAGACATGTGGAGAGGGTATGCCGGAAGGCCATCCAGATATATAAGCAGATGGCCAAAGCCGCGAAGATCGAATGGGGACTAAACCAGCATGTTATCGCGACCGCGTACACTGCTGTTATTGAACCAATCGTAATGTATGCGGCCGCGGTGTGGTCTCCCGCGACAAATAAAATCTGTGTACGCAGAAAACTAAATCATCTGCAAAGGGGCTTTGCCCAAAAAATTGCAAAAACTTATAGGACGACATCATTACACGCAGCAACCCTACTGGCCGGGATACTTCCTCTAGACCTCCGTATTCAAGAAGCCGCTGCCTTATACGAGATAAGAAGGGGGGGTTACTGCGCGGAAATACTGGAGGGCGAAGAATTAGAGAGGAGAGTGAAATACGTAGTACTCCCACATCCGGCGAAACAAACAAAACTGGACTACAAGATGCTCACCAATCCGGAAGAAATCGAAAGACACGGCGGCACACATGGAATGCTGCAAGCTGAATTGACGGCACTACGAAACGCGACTAGCCACATAAATAAAAATAAGCGTGACGCTAAAATATACAGTGACTCTAGGTCAGCATTAGATGCTATTGTGAGTGGACGATCTCTCGATCCCCAGGTAGCCGAGATCCGCCGGAGCCTGGAAGAGTGCTCTTCTGGGCAAAGGCGCACGTTGGTACGCCAGGGAACGAGAGGGCGGACACGTTAGCAAAAGAAGCGGCGGAAAGACTAAGGTCAAAACCTGAATACGCCGCATACCCCCCTGTCATATGTAAAACATCAGATAAGGCAAAAGACTCTAGATGTATGGAATGAACGCTACCTGGGGGGTGAAACAGCTGGAACTACAAAATTATTCATCGCAAATGTTAGAACTGCGTACAAATTAATAAAGAGAAGCGTTTCACACCCCAGATGGCGCAAATTCTTACAGGGCACGGAGCCTTTGCACATTACCTTCATAGGTTTAAAATTAGGACAAGCCCAACATGTGCCTGTAGTAATGAAGATCAAACAGTTGAACATGCGCTCCTACATTGCCCTATATTCGCATCGTCCAGACACGACCTGGAGCAACAAATGCATATGACTGTAGACTACAGGACATGTTAATAAAGCACAGATCGTGCCTGGAACGGTTCTGCGATAAAATTGTTAAATATATTAAGGCGGCAAACTAAACTCCAAGAACGGGTCTCGCGAGGCATCACGTCCCGGCTCGCCCATGAATATTGTAAACAAAAATATTACAGATGTAGCCGGGGCGTATTTCGCGAGACGTGTAATGTGAAGCTTAGATATAGAAAAAGTCCCTGGACAAAATGGCAGGGGAGTAGAAAAGGTATTATTTAAAAAAAAAAAAAGATATAAGTTATACTTACATATATTCAATGGTTCCACAAAATGTATGTGTAACAATGCCTTCTTGAATATGTTCCTTACACAATCCAAAATCTGTAAGTTTTACATGGCCTTGCGCATCTAAGAGAACATTCTCTGGTTTTAAATCACGATAAATTATGCCTAAACTATGTAAATGTTCCAAGGCTAGAATTATCTCAGACAAATAGAAGCTGAAATCAAATGTAAAACAAAATAGTTAAAAGTTCAATTTATACATTTATATATACAAACAAGTGCTTAGTAGAATATTTCTCAATATTGTCTTCTATATCCGAGGGTCTTACACATGATAAAATTAATTATTTATATATTTATTCTTTATTGTGCAAAATCAGTTACAGATAACATAACAACAGGGATTTTGTAATATAACAATTAATATGTTCAGTTATTGTTACATCAAAAGGAAGTTCTTAATATGTATTACTACTTCATTAGTCAATTGTAATAAATAGACATTTTCCTGGTTATACAATAATACAATTTAAAAATAATACTATATACAATACATTGTTGATGTACCTACCTCATATACTCATGGACATAAATTTGAATCAGGAAAAAAAAATTGTTAACTTACCAAGCAGTGTCTTCTAAAAATATACCTTCTCTTTCAAGATGCATAAATAACTCTCCGCCACTTAAATATTCTAGAATTAAATATAATTTACCACCAGTTTGAAAAGCATAAACTAATTCAACTATAAAGGGATGCTGAAAATAAACAATATATTATAAGAATTGGTAACAGCACATAAATTCAATGTGAAACAAGTATATATTACCTTTACTGCTTCTAATATATTTCTCTCAGCTTTAGTGTGAGCAGTATCTTTTTGGTTACGTACTATAGAAGCTTTTTTAAGAACTTTCATAGCAAAATGGGCACCAGCATCAGTCCCAGTAATTTTACGTACTTGAAATACTTTTCCATATCCACCTTTGCCTAAAACTTTGCGCAACTCAAAGTCTTGAGGACCAAGACGTTTGCACAGTCCAGGGTTTACATTATCTTCAGATAGTTGGATTGTTTCCGACCCTTCAGCCCTATAAAATAAAACAATTCATTTTTTGTATCACTCCTAAACTTAAATAAAAATACCTATTTTAATATACTTACTCAACTATATTGTTAACATGTAGTTCAGGATCATAGTCAACCTGTATAAAAACATATTTTCATTAAGCTTAACAACGGTGCATTGCTTGAAAGTGTAACAAAGAGGTTATAAAAATTCCATAATAGATTAGTATGAAAAGAAGCCACTTATACATGCCTCATCAACATCTATAATATCGTCTTCATCAGAATCAACGACTGTAACTGTATCCACATCTAAATCTAAATCAAAAACACCTGCCATATAAGATGACATCTCAATATTATCACATCAGAAGAAAACAATATTTTAACACGAAACAAAAATACAACCACAAGCTAATTAGAAAAACACAAAATAACTGTCTCGTTATTATATTGGATTAGTTAAATAAAATTTTCATTTATCAGTAAATGAATAAAATAGCTATGCTGGTATTAATTTCCTAAAAACTAGAAGTTTGAAAGATCAAACATTAACTATCAACTTCCACAGAGTAGAACCATTCTTCATGACTTATCACTTAAATTGTGCCCATAGACAATATATTGTAAGATTCTATGCTCTATAAGTACGAAGATCACAGAAACGTGTGATTACTAAATTCTATCTGTCCTACACCTTAAAACATTAAGTTTTAAGTAGATTGCTCTCTCCGTAGTTCAAGTGATTCATACCCCTATGTGCCCAGCAAAAACGCAGATGTTATGGAAATAATATAATATTGCTAAGATTAAATAAAGTAATTGGCTTGACTAACTAATCCCTTAATCATAAGAAGGTCAATATACATCATCCTCCAAATCTCTTAAAACTAATACAGAATTAAAATAATTTAAACTTTTGGAAAAATATACCAGAATATAGCAACTAATATGGTGAACGCTATAATATGCTATAAGAATGCAGTAGTTAATTCTGGTAAATATTGTAAAAATACAGTAGAAACATTCATAATAAAATAATGATATTAGTATTATTTTAGCCAAAGTGTCTTAACTAAGGAAAAAATATAGTAATAAATTCTACAATAAGCTGTATGTTTACAGCAAATAAGTCAGTGTTAATTGAATAAAGTTAATGTTACTAAATTATCTTAATGTATTTGATTAATTTCCAAATCCATATGTCTGATTAAATAAATACCTATCCTTCATTTACAGTTCATGACCCCTAAATTCATGAGGATAATACTATATATTATATACGAACGCAATTTAAAGTCTTTTATCTATGGTGGTTTCTCAATATTATGTTTTTAAAATTGACAGTGACAATAACCTTATGACAAAACACAGTGCTGACTGAAGTAAACATTATTTTCAATCTGCGATGTCCGTTGTCATATAAATCGTCGCAACAGTCTATTTACAAAAAAACCCTTTGCTACTTTTTTAACTTTGTAGTTTGTAAACTGTACGCGTAATGCATTTGAATTTAAAATCAAAAGTGTTTTGTAAAAATCAAAAACATTTATTGAGTCAGTTATGCTTGTAATTGATAAATAAGTCTAATGAACGCCCAATGAAACCTTTCAATGGCTAGTGACAACGACAAAACTTCTGTTACTCATAACTTGGATGGGTCTTTAAAAAGTAACAAGAAACAAGGCACTGCAGCTGTTTTGAAAGGTAATATGTGACATTCTTTAAAATTTATACTAGTTTATTCAATCCTTATTAGTCTTATAACCTTTCTACGGGAATCAATTAATAGTAAACAAAATCGAAGTATATAATATGTTTTTTTCTAAAAGTTTTCCTATGCTACATTACACATTCCATACATTTATTTTATAATCAATAGCAAATCAGAATAGTTCTTACATAGAAAACAGCACATTCTGAACTGAATTAATCGTTAGACAAATATTCTAAACAAAGATGAGTCATTTTTAGATAATGGTTTTATTGTGGTTTGTTTTGCTACGTTAAATTTAATGAAGCTTTAGCAAAACTTTTATTAATGATACAAACCTGATTTGTATGATAGCCTAAGCAATTCATGCATTGGGGTTGTTTTACTGTTGGTATGCTCTGAAATCATTCTAACTTGGCATTAAACCAAGTCAGCATAAATATATTACATATATTATCTATATATGCTTTTCCTGATAACTAATTTCGGCAAGTCTTAAGAGGATGCCACTGTCGAGTCAGCCTGCCTAGAGAATATAATTATATATTATGCTTCAAATAGGATTGTCCTATCCAATATGTATTTTGATAGAATTTTTGTATAGTACATAATTTATTTATGAAGAAAAGATATAATGTTTACTAAACTAGTATAAAGGAATTGCAAGAACATGTTTTGTGTGCAAATTAATATAAAAATTACCATTATAGAATTAATGTAAGAAGATATTTAAATTAACCAGATGACCACAAAAAAATGCACTATAAATTGAGAAAATTCAATATTATAATATTTTCAATTTTTTTTACAGTTTTCATAATATTGTATTATAACTCAACAAAACACCAAGATGGCAGTGTACTTTGATTATCACTTCATATGTCAGATGTGACATACAAGGATTGATATGTCAAAGGAAATACTGTCACTTGACATAGCATATTTTGCATTATTATGTTGGCATTTAAATGAGAATTGTTTTTATTTACATAATAAAATTCATCTTCTGTCTTACATATTTTAAGAAGCATTTATTGTTTAACAAAGTTGTAAAATTATTTTCCAATATCCAGTGTTTGAAAATTATGATCAACAATGAATTTTCCTCTTGAAGAGAGTACAACTGAAATAATACCTGCCATTCTTAACAATGTGATTAAGCAGTTACAGTCTGATGGTATTGAATTAATGCAAAACGATATTTTTATTGTATTGATTCATGTTCTTATGTTGGAAAATGGGTTTGTAACAACTAACAATGTAACTGATTTTATAGAACATGCCAAACATATCACCAAGATTATTCAGTCACAGAGAAAAACAGGATTTTACAAAGAAAAATTTCTATTATGTGGTCTAGATGATATGACCGTTGACATAATAATGAGCCCAATAGGATCTGCGGTATTTGTGAATGCAGCCATAAATAATGATAATCAAGAAATGTATTCAGTTTGCCTACCAACAAGTCGCTATGTTGTAGCACCAAAGGCCTCCACAATTCCAATGATATTCAGAGATTTAAAACATTTATCCACTGCATATAAAAATAAAATTGTTTCCCCAGTAAAAAGTAGAATTTTAAGTTACTGTGGATATCCTAGTGCTAGTTTGGTTGGCCTTCCGGATGATATATTCTTTAGTTTAATTATGCTTTTGAGTATTGAAGATATCATAAATGTATCCAAAACATGTAAAAGATTGAATGTTATCTTAGACAATGAAACCTTGTGGCATGCACTTTATAAAAGAGACTTTCAAGTAATTGTTGAGAATGATAGAACGGACTGGAAAATGATTTATAAAGAAACATATGTTGCTGAATTGGAAAAGAAAAACTTACCTCACTTAACTGGAACAATACATGATTTCATGGATATTTCAGATATGATTTCATATATTGATAACCCTTTGTGGGGTGATATATTATAAATAAATATTATTAACTATGTTTTGTTGATTTAATTATAAATTCATCTATTTTATAGTTATCTTGATATGTATATATATAGTTTTATACATATATCTGTACCTATATTTTTTTAAATTGACCTCTAAAAATTATTACATGGCAAAGTTAACTTTTCTATACATAAACAACTTTCAACTATTAAACTACCTGTACCTGCCGTTGTGTGTAGAAATTCAGATGATTCCATCTTTAGGTTCAAACTGAATATGTTTACTGTGTATAAAAAACTGTATGAATCTTAACCAATATATTTGCAAAAATTGGTAAACAAACTAGCTATATAAACAGGAACTTAGTTTAATATATTTTTCTTTCCTAGGGGAAGGAGAAAAAATTGTGTTGCCACAAATTGGCAAAGGAGGGCGCCATTTATCAATTCCATTCGACTCGACAACAAATGGTGAACTAAGTAAGTTTTACAAAAAAAAAAATATTTCACGATTTTTAACAGAGACCATGTTTGACAGAAAATCGGATTTGGAGATTTGTACTATTTTATTATTAACAACAAATTTCTTATTTTGACTTTAACTTTATCTGTATTTTAAATCTATAATATTTATTACCAACACATCCTATCGTTCATTATACCAACATTACGTTGAACCGTGAGTGTTAGACAGGCGAGGGATGCGCGATTAAGATGCGCCGCGCAGCTTCCATTCGTGTTCTTGCCTCTATGGCGCCATCATCTCACTGTTAACCAAAGCTATCGTTTGTATTAATTACTGTGAGGCGTTTGGCCGTTATTAAATATAAATGGGCTGGAGGTGAGCAGAACCGTGGAGGGCTCGCGGGTGACGCGTGATAGACCGCCTTGGCGGGGCTACGGTCCCATGCTCACTCATAGTAGGTCTGAAGGCGACTTCCCCATATACACCAGAGGTGAGAAACCCATATTTCATGTCACAAGTCGCAAACTTATCTGGTCCTTACTATACCTATCCTCGAGAAAATGTTACGTGCGAAACTGTATAATCACAAAATGTTATTATTTAGTTATGTTCCTAACCATTTCATAATAATAAGTAATTATATAATTTTTCTTATCGTAATTATTTTCCATATGTTTGTGACTATCAATAATATACATAAATCTCTTGAAATCAAAAATGTTAAAAGGATTTTCTGTTGTTTAAATAGTTTTAGTCTGCTATACGAAGTTGCTGCAGTTAATTTGATCAAGCTCTGTAGCAGAGCCGCGAAAACAAAATTTGTTAAGTAATTTATTTCTTTATTCTTAAATGTTTGGTAGCAGTATAAAGTCTACAATTAGAGAGTGGAGTTTTTTCATATAAACGATTAGGGGTTTAAGATTAAGACATTTCCGTAAATTCAGCTCGCACTTAGCGTTATTTAAACATTATTTACTTAGGTAAATTTTTTATATATGATAAATGGTTTACGGTCGGTCGCGTGAATTACACGCCTAATAAGCTTGGGCTTGAAAATATGGTTCGCTTATTTTCTAGGACAAAAGGTATTCTAATAATATTAAATGCACGTTAGTCTGGTCGAGTCCACATCATCGCCTTCACTATGATCCATCAACCCTGATCAATATACATACGGCCCTCGTTTATTGCGAATCTTCACCTTAAAATTGTTTAATGTAAAATTCATTATATGAACCTATTGTTAGCAATGTTGAATAGGATAAAATATTTTAAACTTTTATTTAAATTTACAGGTGTGTTTGATTATTTTAATACATGCTAAACTAACGGTATAAGAACAATTTGATAAAATATTACGTTATCACAGCAACAGCTATCTAATCTTAGCGGTCTTGTATCGTTCAGTCTTAGTTGTAATTCAATTTTTGTTTAAATTGCACTGACGTTTTGTAATGGCGAATTTATAGTTATGTGTCCTTGTGGACTCAAAATGGACGTTCTTATGAGAAGCCGTAACTCGCGACACAGACCGATTGATGATGAAACTCGTAGTGAAAATGGGAATATAGAGGAGGAAATATCTAGTAAGTTCTATTTGTTCAAATGTTATGCGAAAAACAAACAAGTCGAAAATTTAGTAGATTACGAATGGTTATAAATAGTTTTGTTTTAGTAAATTTATGCCGTGTATATTCTGTTGTAGGGATACGTTGTGCTATATATGTATGTACATAATGCGTCGCTTGATTAATAATTCCCATATGGAGGTACACGACTCGGACATAAATGATAAACTAATAAATATAGGATATATGATGGATATAAAATTGATATCGAATTTTGAACAAACGGTTTCCTAGAATAGCCGCATTATTAATTCTAATTGAAAGAACGAAAGATAAGAATGTGATTTATTATTAATGACTAGTATTTCGTAAAATACAACGGCGTGAATGCATCTTACTTCGAATACACTTGGCTGAACTAAAGCTATAGTTGTATTGAAGTACGGAGTTGCACCTGCTTAAACGAGACCCTTGAAGGGGCTTTTGCGGTATAGCTTTGGTCTTGAATGTACTTTATACGCACGGTGCATTTATTCCCCAATGCATTCCACACCTTTGTCATTGTTTATGCCTATTGTAGTCTATATGCCTTGCATACTAATAGATCTAGATAAAATACTTACTCAAGACTACGTGCAGTCTTTACATAACGTTTTCCTTACAGAGATATATTTAAACTAACGCAAATATTTATTGCTTTAAACGTTTTCTCGTTATCTTTCCTCCTTTTAAAGATTCTACGTGGCTCTTCGTTTTTTGTGTTATCGCATATTTTCTCTAACGTTGAAACAAGATGTTTTGGAATGACAAATGTGTTATCAGTATCGATATGCTTGGTTTTGGTTGAGTTACTTGAGTGCATCATGCAAGGGCGACAAAGGCAGGCGGGCCCCCACCCTGATGGCGGCACGTCTCGGCCCGCGCCAGTCCGCCGTGGAGCGTCCCTCGCGCCGCAGGTACAATCTACGATACGTGCTCGCGCGTGTTATTGTGATTATCAGTGTAGTGTTTTTTTTCTAACACCAATTACGTATGATATTGTGAGGACGACATGGATAAGTGTAGTTGACATGTCGTTGAGCGCGACCGTTCAGACGGTGCGCGGCACAAGGACCAATAGCCTCGACCATCTTGATTTTCAAGAGCGCCGGCAGCTGATTGCGAGCTCGTTGTCTTTAACGGATTTCTTACATGTTGGAGCGAAAGAGGTGGCGGCTGTCGCTGGTGTGTATTTATTTACGCGTAAATTCTCATCTTTAATTAATATGAAGCGATCAATTGTAATAACTGCGCCCAATTCTGTTGTAACCAGACACGAGTCATAATTAAATGTAGAGTTTGTAACATATCAAGCATTTATTACCGTATTGTGTTTAGAGGTTTACTGCTATATTCGAATTAGATTTTCGTTCGTATATTTTGCAGTCTTTATCGTAAACGTACTATAATGCTTTCTTAGTTGAGTGTTCTGTCAGATCTTTGCTAACTGAGAAATGTTTAACTCAGATGAATTAAAATCATTTATTTACCTATTTGCTAGTTTTTATAAGAATGGAGGAATATTAATTACAGATTAGTTTGCAAACAGCGCGTACCGCACATACCATAAATAGAGATATGACGTGATATCATAGATAATTGATAATATATAATTAACTGCGTAGGTGGTTTTTGCCTTAATGTTAACAAAACGTTACCTGGGTCCTAGGTAGGTTCGAAATTGCCTTTGCGGTTTAGGGTAAAGCGTAACAGACGAAATAAATTTATCACTCGGGCATAAAATGGAAAAATAATGGTTTGTATTACATATATCTGGAAAATATGTTACGAGTTGACCACTAGTAAAGCTGCAGCTCGTATCTTTAAACGCCCCCTTATGCATCCATAGATATTTATTCTATATGCGCAGATAATACTCTCTCGTACGGTAGAGGAAAACTAGGATTCGCTAAAAAAATTGCATGTCCAAGGACACCTTTGCCCAAAAAAAATTATAATGAAACATACTCGGATAAGTATTCTCTACAGGGGACTTTACACATAACATATACTGATATTCTACTGAGGTACAGCTCAGAGCTATTATATATTTGTCATAAATGGTATCTCAAATTAACATACAATTAACCTCATAATTTTTATATCCTAATTAATACAAAGTGGAAAAACCGTAACTCAAGCCTATCTAAAATAGACTTATTCATTTATAAATGAGCAGGGATAAAGTTATTTCATAATCCGTAGCGCTGACGTCTGTTTGAGTGCAAAAGCTCAATATTATAGTGGGGCCGAATGTGAAGAATAGACTATAGATTTTGGTCAGGTTTTAACCTTTCGTTATCTATATCCGTTGATATTATTTATATAAATAGTAATCGTAGGTTGTAATAGTAAATTACCTACTTTACACTTAAAACTAAATTTCTGAACTGATTGTGACGAGTGCGCTATCTAGATGGACCATAAAGTGCAGAGTCATTTTATAAGTTTCTTTTTTAAGTCTCACAACTCTAGACGGCAAATTCAATTATTTTTTTGTAAGTTTTGACACATATACTGCAATAATATAACTTACATATATATAAAGAGAAGTATAATAAATAAATAATACAAATTGTTATTAATGTATTCTAAAACTCTTCTTATCTAAGAAGAACGAGGGAAAACAATTTAAAATCTATTAAGAGGTGATGAGGGAAAAGCATAATTTAAACACTATTTGAGTAGAATATAACACCGTAACTATGCACTGAAAGCGGTTTGACTTAGTGGCTTAAGCGTGCGGCTGTAAACCCTGAGGTCGTGCTTTCGAATAACTTGTGTACCAACAGTCGTAGGGTAAGGAAACCGGCATGTCTTAGCTCCTTCCACTTGACCATATTCAACGAAGAGCGGTTCGAATTGTCGACGACCGATCCCATTCCGAGCCGCTTGATCCTTTGGCGTTGTTTAGAGATGTGGTGACCGTGCATCTTCTACCGCATTTACCATGGAGAGTGTTCAGAGGAGTTGTTCGGATTTCATCATCCGACGTCGAGGCAGAATACGAAATTCCACCCGTATCACCTCTGAGCGTCGTTCGTCGTTCCACAACTGAGCGTTTTTTAAGGCAGTTTTTGCCGCTCATCACCACTATATGACCACCACAAATCGACTTAGGATCCTTCCAAAAAAGAGCGTACCAATTCTTTAAAGGTCGCCCACGAATTCTCGAGCTCTCTGGCAGTGCGAGTGTCCATGGACTGGTATCACTTAACACCAGGTGAGCTTCCTGCCAGTTTGCCCCCTGTTCTATAAAAACAAAACCCAAAAAAATGATGTGTCAGGCTGATCACGTACGTCTTTGGAAAATTATCATCGGATATTATCGCAGGTTAAGAACCATATTCTACTTGTACTGAGGGTGTGAAATTACAAATTATGGACTCGGCCAAAAGCAAGAAGCGTTCTGTTAATATGTTTCTATTAGAACAACTAAGTTTACGCCGTAGTAAGTATTATGTTCTATGCGACCTAGACTGGAAAGCTTGTTTAGCCATACTTGGCGAAATAAGAAAGCTATTGGATATTCTTAGATTAAAAGTGAAATTTATATATCTTTATTGAAGTCGCTAATATTTATTTAAATCTCTCTCTTAATGATCGTTTAAATCTCTTCTAGATAAAGATTTCTTAACCATATCCTATTCTACTCAATCTTGACTTTTGTAATTCTTGTATTTCTTATTCTTATGTATTGCATCGCAATTCATGAATCCGTAAGATTAGCTTTTTAGTTTATTTTTTTTGTATTATTTATTGATTAGGTTTGTTTTATAGTTTAAGATTTGGTTATGCGCATCTTGCAATTTACCCGTCATATTTTTTTTTTTACTTTTTTCCTAGCTAGGGTTGCCTGGAAGAGATCGCTTGTTAGCGATAAGGCCGCCCGTTGCATTCCTTATAATTTTGATTTATTAGTTTGTTTTTTATAAATGTAACGAAGTGTAAGTAAATAAATAAATAATGAGGTTTAACTACTTATTTTTTTTTTTTGTGTTCGCTTGTTAAATTTTTGCCTTCCTAGCCTGCTAATGTTCTAATATACATGATGTGTATGTGTGTAAAATTTGTAATCTTACATTTTCTTGTATAATTTTATGCACACCCGTTTTAGTAGGTACTTATTAATAAATAAATCTTAAACAGATATTAAACGCGAACTTATTAACAACGTTATGTGTTTTTTAGCAAATGTGGTCAGCGATTGCCATATCAAATTGATAACTTTGGTATTATGATTACCATATTAAAATAAGTTATTGTTTTAAAAGTATGTGTTTTCCCCACTGCTAATTTACATATGTAAACCCTGTTGTATTATCCTTATCACTCTCGTGGTAATAAACGTGACAATTTTACTATTAGAGGTTAGTACGTTTATTGAATAGAGGCAATTTTCCTGCAAGAATGCAGGAATTCGACTGTTTATATGGAACTATATAAATAATTTTTAAATTCGAACCTGTTCATACAATTAGCGTGTTTAAATAACGAAACTCTTCAGCTTACTTATCACTGCGTTATTAATAAAATCGTCTCATTACACCGTTTTAATTGACGTACACATTTGATCACAGCGTTAACACAAGGCAGACAGACCAAAGAGAATTTATTTATTTCGTAATCCTACAGCTAACAAAAATTATACCTAGTCCAGCCATAAGTTCTGTTACAAATGAAATTGCATTTTTTATGAAGTAATGTAATATTATTAAAATGTATACCTACGTATTTATTAAAGTCTAAGCAAAAAAATAAAAAATATTCTATTCGAAATGGCCACCTTTGGCTTTTATACAGGCATTTAATCTGTTTGGCCACGAATCTTTGGATTTACGCATATTTAGCCTTTGTAGTTCTAACAGCACGCGGCCGCCCCGATCTTTTCCCCCCGCTTTTTTAACTCCCAAAGGGGGGGCCCGGGGGTTTTTTTTTTTTAAAAAGCCCAAACATAAAAAAAATGCTTCCCCCCCTTTTTGGGGGGGGGCGGGGGGGGGGGAAGCGGGGGGGGGGGGGGGGGGGGGTTTTTGAAGGGGGGGGGGCTGGTCTTCGACAGACCAAGTGTTGTATCAGTACGATATACGAACATACGGATGATACCAAGATTTTGAAGTGTCTGGAATATGGCCGACGGCTCGATACCCACTTTGTGCAAGGCGATCACTGCAAGCCTATTTTCTTTAACACCCCATTCCATATTGTAATTTGATAATGAACAAAATAATTAAAAATTAAAAAAAAAAATAGTTTTTGTAACAGTATTTATGACCAGACTACTTATATAACACAAAACAATTATACCTACTAAAGATATAGCCAAAGATGAAGTACATAATATACACAAAAAGGTTGAAACGTTAGAAGCCTGGATTACTTATGAATATGGATATGTTACAGTTAACACTAGTTTTTAGCTCCTTTTTAAAAAACTCGTTTTCCCTTTTTAAAAAATTTTTTTCCTTTTTTTACTAAATGCCTTTGTCAAAACTAGAAATAACAAGTGAAAACTAGAATTTACCACTGATATAATTCATTTTCTGATAAAACTAGTTGTCACTCCGAGCTTTAGTTACAACTAGCACCAGAGAAACTAATTTGAATTGTGGGATTGAAAACAAGATAAAGTTTTAAAAAATAATAAGATCTAGGGTATAGAAACACAGCACCGTACCAAAAAAAAAAAAAAAAAACAAAAGGAACATTTTAGGGAACATCAGCATAAGTAGTTGCCAAGGTGACACTAATTAAAAGTAAATAAAATAATTAAACAAATCACAGAATACAACCATAAAATTTAAAAAGGAACATTTAACAAAATGAACAGGCCAGGGATTTATGCGCTGCGTATGTAAGAAAGGATGTATGTCAAAAAGGTGTCTCTGCAAGAAAAATGGCTACCCCTTTGTAATTCAAAATGCCACATAGTTTGTCTTGCAATAACAAGTAGATCGTCATCTTTTTTTAATTTTAAGGTTGTTTGATTATTTTTTTATTGTATGTTTACCAATATCCCCTTAAAAATATTATTATAATGTTCCTTTTTTAAATTTTATGGTTGTATTCTGTTGATTTGTTTTGATTATTTTATTTACTTTTAATTAATGTTGTCACCTTGGCAACTACTTTATGCTGATGTTCCCTAAAATGTTCCTTTTAGTGTAAGTTTTTTTTACTAGGTACGGTACTATGTTTCTATACCTCTAGATCTTTTTTATTAAATATTTTTAAAACTTTATCTTGTTTTCAATCCCCAAAATTCAAATTAGTTACTCTAGTGCTAGTTGTAACTGAAGCTCGGAGTGACAACTAGTTTTATCAGAAAATGAATTATATCTGTGGTAAATTCCTAGTTTTCACTTGTTAATTCTAGTTTTGACAAAGGCATTTAGTAAAAACTATTTTTAACTAGGAAGAAAACGAGTTTTAACTAAAAACTAGTGTTAACTGTAACAGATATATATAGATTCCAAGGGACATAATTATCATACATATATGATAATTATGTCCCTTGGAATACATTTGTTATATATCTTAGTTTCAAATAGCTTTAATCTTTTAATGAGAGAATTTAGGACTTGAACGTTATCTGATAAGATTACAGATCTCTTCGGTCAAGGCTCTTTACTGATTTGTGTGCTTCTGATAAGAAACTTGCGTGCCTTTTAGCTAATGTCATCACATACGATGTACCTACTTTGTTCTCGACGGTATTGTGATACGGACATTCTGTACAATAGGAACGGTAATGGCTCCATTGATTATGTCAATGTGCGCTATGGATGACGTAGATATCATTCATGGACATGGGCGTTTTAGCTCACCTAACTAGGGTATGTGCTTAGTGAAGGGGAGTTAATATGCCGTTAAGCAATGTAAAGTATAACTCAACGCAAAACAACGTCATTATAATTCAAATTAATGAATAAATCTTGTATACGCTAACGTTTTTGATATGAAATCGTGATAGGTTGCAGGCAGCGCAGAGTTATCCAAGCAAAAATTGTTTTACCACCTCAATTTATCAATGTTTTCAAGGTATCTATGGACCGTGAAAAGTCGCAATTATAAAAGGTATCATTGTCATCTTGTTTGAGCAGTGTTGGCCTAGTGGCTTCAGCGTGCGACTCTTATCCCTGAGGTCGTAGTTTCGATACCCGGCTGTGCACCAATGGGCTTTTTCTATGTGCGCATTTAACATTCGCTCGAACGGTGAAGGAAATCATCGTGAGGAAACCGGCTTGCCTTAGACCCAAAAGTCGAGGGCGTGCCTCAGGCCAGAAGGCTGATCACTATTAGATTAACAAATGATCATGAAACAGATTCAGAAATCTGAGGCCCAGACCTAAAAAGATTGTAGCGCCATGGATTCATTTATCATAGTCATCTTGTTTATGACTGGTATGTTGGTTAAAAGCAGCAGGTAGACACCCCATAATCGTGTTTAATGGGGTTTTATCTACCCTAATAAATATGTTCCGGAATTGCGCGGTCTACCTGAACAACCGTCTCTGTTCCCCAGTTGACACTTGTTTATTCAGAGGATACCTGGAGGTGGTGGTCGATTAATTAGAAAACATTAGAAATCACAGAAGGTTGGATGAATGAGTTATAACCGCAGAACAGTCTCACTGTTTAAGAATTTAACATTTGTATACATGTACTTAAACGAACATCTATTGAATGCTTTGTCCTTATCACTCTCGTACGACTTTGAAAATAAATGAGCGTAACAGTATATTCTAGTTGAGTACGTTTATGAATCAGACCGCAAATTTTATCTGTGTGTGTATTAGTATGTAAAATTATCAATAATACATAAATACGTTTAGATACTTTTACCTTTATCTAATAATTTACATTGATTTTCTTTTGTTAACAGCCAAAAAACAAAATGGTACAGCGGTACGAACAAATAGCTTGGGTTCCGGTGCGCGCACGCCACCCGCGGAGCGAACCAAGTCGAAATTCTCAGCATTCGGTAGACTTTTTAAGCCATGGAAGTGGAAACGAAAAAAAAAATCGGAGAAATTCGAAGCAGCCTCTAGAAGTAAGTTGTTTGATGTTGTTCTGTTCAATTGAATTCTATAAACTAGGATTTAAGGTCACTTCTGTCAAATAGCGGACTTCATCTGGAAACCAAACACTTTCCAGGCATACCTATTACTACTATTATTATAAAATAGACCCAAATACACCTTTGTTGTGATAAAATGAAAGATTTGGAGCGAAAATCTGAAATATTGGTTTGACCTGAAACAAAATTTTATTTGTATCAAAAGTTGTGTTGTATTTTTCCTAGATTATACTCTCAGATTAGTACAATTTATTGATGCGGGTTTGAAGGGATATCCGGAGACATCTTGTATTATTAAGTACTCATTCTTGGTCAATGAATGGAATCAATTGCGTGAAGTGTGTCTGTGTGACTGACTCGAAATTTTTAGAGAAGGTTGGGCAATATCTTTTGTCCTGAGTTCTATAGAATTTTGGAGCTAACGTATGAAGCCTGGCTGGATGGGTATTTTTGGGGTGCAAGTTTAAACAATCATTCTTAATAGAATTTCCATGTGTGAAATGTAATAGTGGGTGTCGAAGCGTAAACATTGGTCCTAAAAAAATCTATTGCCTTCCAACTACATATATTGCTATATTTAATTGTGCGATGAGCAATTGTTATGTATTTTATTAATACTTTTTAGGAAAGCCTTTCATTGCCAGCTCTTATTCAAACATTTGTATAATTATGATGTGTCAAGGCCCTGACATGTGACACGCCTTAAAAACATAAAATGCAGCGTTAAGATGGATATATGGTCAAATCAAACAAACATGATGTTACTTGAAGCAGAACAATCAGTAGCGCTACAACCCTACATGTGTCTTGGTCTCGGATCGCATCCGTTTGATCATTTTTATTTCATAGACATGTAGGAGCCTTCTGTGCCTGACACATGTCATGGATTTACGGGTTTAAGACATGTTTCATTAAGATGCTTGCCTTCACTGTAGGAGCAAAAGCTAAATGCGCACATAGAAAGGATTCGAACGCACCAACTCAGGGTTGAGGGTCGCACGCTTAAGCCACTAGGACAACACTGGTCTTAATCAATATTAAAACTAACATAAGTAATAATAATTAATTATAACAATTTTTTTTAAATTATATATACCGAACTGCGTTGTGCTCTACCGTTTTTATGGTTACAGGAGTAAATATACAAATTTCATGCATTTTGGTTAATTGATGGAACCTTTGTCTTGTGTGTATTTCTTCTAGTAAGTATAATTCTATGTTTCAGCTTTAGAAAGGAAGATATCCGTCCGAGCCAATAGAGAAGAGTTAGTCCAGAAAGGTATTCTCCTACCAGAAAGTCCAGTCACGCCCGTACCCGAAGGTGGTCAGTATTCTAATTCACTATTATATTTAACAAACTCTTTATTCCATCCATATTCGAATAGGGTTACGTTTTTAAACATCATTGTAAAAATAATAAAACAAAATAAAAATCACAGTAACTAATATTATAGCAGGCCAAAAGGCAAAGCCTTGCCGACACACCTAAGTTTGTACAGCGCTGATTTCAAGCCAATCCGAAACGTTTCACTACATTCAGCTGACGGAAGGGAAGGTTTATAATTGACTGAGTCTGAGTCCAAATTACACTATAAAATCGTTATAATAATCGGGTCACGACATTTTTATATTACAAAAATATATAGAAAGTAATTTCAGTATAGATTTTTAGAAATTATCAGTTTACCCATTCTTGAAGAACAATGTGTGGTATAATTTAATAACAAACGTTACTTAAGGCAGGCGTAACCTTAGCCTGTATCTTACGTTCCTCCAGAGTAAGAGAAGGCAAGATCACTGTAGTAAAAAAAGAAACTTATGCCTTAAAAAACGAAAATATTATAAATTTCTATAGATCATTAACGGTGTGAGGGTATTCCTCAAAATGGCTACGGTCTTTGGACAGTGAATAGGTAAAAGTATTTTCATTTTAAAGGCAATGGAAAATACCAAGTTCAGCTAAGCCATTTACGCTAATTACTTGGAGAAAAATGTGGAGAACTCAAGTTGAATAATGATGCTATTAGCTTAGCTACCCCTCGTCTGTAACTATTAAGAACAAAATATGCTATAATTTAGGGAATTAACGTAAAAAAGTTTTCGAATTTAATGTTTTAATATATCCAGGTGTAGTTAAGACAAAATGTAAATTCATATTTAATAATAATAAGCCTTTATTTATACACATCTTATTTACATATATACAAAAAGAAAGATATATATATACTATATTATTTTATGTTGTTGTCTGAATATGATAAAATGGATGTTTTTTTCATATTCAATACAAACGATAAAAAATAAACAAAACACAATCAGATTATATTCACAAATTCAAATATAAAATATTTATAATAATTTATGATAATATCTAAACTGATGAAATATTTATTAAACGAAAGCAAAAAAAATGTAGATTTGACTAGATTTAATTTAGAAAGGATGTAATGTGTCTGGGAAAAACGGAATAATTTTCAAGTACAACAAAATTTTAATCGAATAAAAGTGGTGGTTTTGTGTAGAAAATCATATATTATTGACATGACCACTTTCCATTCGTGTTTTAAAAGATCAAAGTCCTATAATGTAATGAGTAAGTGATCGGACCAAACCCAGGATTTGCGTGTAAAACGCCATGTCAACCCCGAAGCCGTAAAGTAACAAATGCAATACAATATATCCAGTGTCCCCTGTTAATTGCATACACAATTGCGTAAGAGTCATGACGGTGGTGTTATGTTGGACATGTGATTTATGCTTTCTATTTCACTTGCGCAAGATCACCGAACTTAACTGGCGTACATATAATTAGTTATGCATATTGTAAGTTCTATTTCAGAGGAAATAAAGGTAGGGTAATGTTTTAATGGAGTTTTTTACTGATTTGTTGAATGATAGACATATGTACCACATGTACTTTTTTCTTATAGTTTCTTGGCATATACAAATTATTAAAATTAGGTAATAAAAATGGCCTATAGTAGAGTGTAAGTGGTGTCGTACAGAAATTATGACTTAATCATCAATAAACATATACATACGTATATATAGCATTAAGGCTGCCAATTGCGCATAATTTAAAGCTTTTTTAAGTCTAACAATCATACTTAAATAAATTTAAACATGTATATATTTATTATAATATTTAATATATTATGTATATAAACTATAAGTATAAAACACTAACCTTGGTGCCTGAAAAGCTACTCCACAGTACAAATTTTAAATTCGTGTCAATTCAATTCATTAATTATAAACTAAGGAGTTAAAAAAAATACAATTGATACAAAAAACGAAAGGAAACCATTGCCACAAAACGAGAGAAAAAAGAAAGTTTTTATACCTCAAACTTAATATCTATCTTAAATTTATTTATTTTTTTAAAGCGGCTTCCGAAGACCCTTACAAACTCATTAGAATGCTATTTTATAGTATTTATTTTCTCTAGATGAAGAAGAATACACAGATAACAGAGCCAGCGAGAAGGGTCCGACGATAACAAGCATGCACGCCGCCCTGCAAGCACAACTCGCGTCGCACGTCGCACATCAGCAAGCGGCTCTAGCAGCAGCTGTTGCAGCGGCGGCGGCTGCACACCACCACCCGCAGAATAATAATGTCATAGGTAAGTAATTTAAATATAATAAACAATACACTACATATAATGGGTAAACTAAACACTAAACCTAAGATTTACCTGCGCTGATTTAAGTCAGTCATAAAAGTAACAAAGTAAAATTAACAAAGAAATTTAATTAATAATTAAAATATAATATAATTAAAGCCCTACATACAATTTCAATGGTCATCCTAGTCTTTTGTATACGGGTGGTCGACCAAAAGTGTATGGTCTAATGGACAGTAGCTTCCTTATAACATGCTGTTTTCAATGTACGTAAAAGACGGGTGACAAGTTTTAAATAAGAGAGACTTATAATTTACAAGATGCTTTCCTGATATAACTTGACTGGCGTCTAGGATGATATCCCACACACACCGAATCAGGAATCATTGTTGTCATAGGTTTATGATTTACGAGTCTGGGTATAATAATAATATTAATAATAAGCCTTTATTGATCCACATCTTATTGACATACATTATTCAAAAATAGACAGTGGAATCTCGATAACTCGAATGTTAAGGGAACGGCAAAAAATTCGAGTTAACGAGTTTCCGACTTAACTTCGAGATACATATGATTTACAGAGGCGCGATTTCTAAGTGTATTTTTTAGTTGTAGAGTCGAATTTAAATAACAATTCAACTTAAGTAGTGTATATTTTTTTATGAATGTATTCATTCATTGCACGAGTACAAGACAAAAACAATATATTAGAACCCGAACATTCATTTTGGATTTTATTGCTATTATTTCGGGGAATTCCACGTAAGACGTCATTATATTTTACTAACTACGACTTACAGTCTCCTTTTTGAAATTCGAGTTATAGAGTATAAATATGTATTATCAATACTTCGTAGGGAAATTACATTATTTGAGTTTGTTCGAGTTGCAAAGTCTAAATAATTCGAGATACCACGTATTTAGTGGTTCAACGGAAGGGAATGGCAATTTTTTTCGACTTACTGAGAATTTCGAGTTAACGAGGTTCGAGTTATCGGGATTCCACTGTATATAGAATTTTACTGCTTTAAGACGCGGCTCCTGTTCGGGATAAGGTCTCCTCCAACTTTTTCCACCCTATTTTATTTTTTGCCGCCATCATCAAATCTTTTCCAGCTACCTTTTCGATCTCGTCGGCCCATCAGTCCGGTAGGCAGGTCGGCCGGTCAGAGACGATAATTAGCCTTAAGTATGACTTGCGTATGTCAAACTTTGACAAACAGGAGCTGTCACTAGTTAGTCTCCACTCTAATTCTTAGGGTTTGACTTGTAAAAATTCATGCAAGAAGTATATAGTATTCATTTTTAATCTACAGTATTTCTAACTTATTTATTTTGTATGTATTATCATGTTAATAACACAATACATAGTACATAAATGTTATATAACTTTATACATTTTGATAAGAGAATGCAACTCATTAGCGCCGACAATGGTAATTGATAAGAAAGTAGCGCACTAGTTCTAAGACTATCAGAGAGACGTTGATTGATATAGTTATTTATGCTTTAACGTCAGAGTAAATATATTTCTAGTAACTTAAAGTTATACCCCATCATGGAAATCATGATCATAACTATAATTGCACCCTAACTAAAGTAATTTTTTTTTCATTATAGCGTTAACACAATTTGACAGAAAGAGAGAAATGAGTGCAATTATTGATTTAGTTTAACAGTTTTTAGTACAATTTCTGAATATCAACCCGGTAACGCACTTGCGAGCCTCTTCGCAATGTGAGTGTCCATGGGCGGCGGTGTCTGGTGAGCCTCCTGCCGTTTGCCCTCTGTGACATATAAAAATTTAAAAATGTGTGTGGCTTTTGAAGTTTTAGTTTTTAAATATCTTATTGTTTTCCCATATACGATACTTTTATATTCCGAAGTATGGAAGATTTACCGTCAATTTTGGTCGTACAATTGAATAAATTCCGTCTGCAGTGTTCAGATACTAAAAGATTGCGTATATCTAGGTGTTTCTAAATCCAGCGATTCTGTTAGTTATTAAACTAAAGCGAACGTGAGCATATTGGCTTGTTCAATGAGATTTCATTCATAACCAAGTGTGGTCTGTGACAATAGATATTGGAAAATATAAAATGTTTTGCACTTTACACATAATTTTCTTTAGAACGTATTCAGTGGCATGGTTTTAGTCTTCGTAAAGATAGGATCTCGATCTTTATATAATGGTTGATAAGGCATATATTTCTGTGCAAGCACGTGACTTGAGAAGTCTTGGATCAGAGTCCGAATACAGATTTTTTCCGAAGTTTTTTGATACCATGCTCTTAGACGCCATTTTGACTACTGTTGTGACCTGAACGAAATATTCACGAGGATCAGAGGTAGGCAAGCTAGTCAACATTATAATCTACATTAGTGAATAACAAACATTCAGTATTGTGTATGTTTTTAGTGTGTCGAATTGCGTCACAAGAAAACTCTGAAAATTTTAAGTTTCATAAAAATTATATCCTGTAATTATTTGGAATTGCCTTTTATATTTATAATGTAGTTGGTACGTCGCCCTTTGTACTGATCTATTTATATTTATGATGACTTGTTAGCTGTATTGAATTGTAGAAATATGTAGTAAAAAAGTCACGTAAAACAGAGAAAGGCGTGTGCCGGGAATTAGTGGCTTCCTGGCAGGACGAGCCGGGGTCGTTGACCTCCACCTGTCACAGCCGCAATGCTGAAACCTATAAAATATTTATCAAAGTACCGCTGTTTTATGTTTACATATTTTAATTGACTCTAGGTTTGTCCAATGAAAATTTACATTTAGTACTTAGTTGGTTTTCGTTTAATCAATGTTTCACAGTTTCGCCATGAAAGGCAGAGAAGGCTGTACGTCGATTAAGTATAAGCATATGCCAGCCCCATGGTTATGCTGGATTAATAGTGGGCCTGGCTTTTAGTAGAAGATAGCTTCTTTTACTAACGCAAAGTGAGACATGATAGTCGATAAAACGGCTCTTTGTTATCTAACAAAGAGTCGTTTTTATAAGATTGATTAGTAGATTGCTCATTACTGGGTCGTCTTAGGGAGATGATTAGTATCAGCGCTGATTCGTTTCAGTCTCAGGTTAAAGCTTTGTGTTCACTGCTACAATCTAAATGCAGAATACTTATACAGGTCTTGGCTCGTAACTCCCAAATGTCTTCTAACTAACGAAGTCTGATAAATCTCACGTAGGCCATGGCTTTAGACACTTACTGCCGGCGAATATCGTCGATATGCAAACAGGTCATATGGTTTGACAGGTATAAGAGGGTGCAGTGAGGACTTGCCCTAAGTTATGAGGGGCGAAGGGAGCGGGGTGTCGGCGGCGGACAGGCGCGCGCCTCAGTGCTGGCCCGCCCGCGCCCGCGCCCGCCCGCTCTCCGCCAGCCCGCGGCTATTCCACTGCCCTAACCTCACTCGATCAAAAACACGCATCGACCATTCGATTTGCCCTTATGAGACGTTCATTACGTATCCCTAGAGGTTGTTGACCCTAATTAAGCAATTCTCGAGCTTTTTATCGATTGGAAATTGTAGTCTTCCGTGAGGTGCTTTTGAAACTACGTATAAAATTTTAGTATTGGTTTGTGGCGAAGAGCATTAACAAATTGCAGTATTTGGAGGTATTAGGGTTTAACCCTTTAAATATTAAGACAAAAAGCGTTTGTGAACTATTATTAAAAGCAGGTCGTTAGGCGCGAAGTTTGCGGGCGATATCGATCCACACCGGGCTCACGCGATCGCGGCCGCTGCACCGACAATGAGCTCCAACGGCTCTAGTTATATATCACCAATTCTGGCAATTGTATTAAACTATACCTAAAATCACTATTGTCAAATGGGACGTTGTGTAAGACGACGTACTTCCCAATTGGCAATCAACATTTTGTGAAAACTATTGATTACAGCCTGCAAATTAAATAGGGATGTTCAATTTAAGTAATATGCTAGTTGCAGAAACTTTACTCAGTGGTCATAGTTAGTTTAAGTGTTGGGTATCGGTAGCGGTGAGCCACGGATGGTACCGTAAACAGTGGGCTGTGTTCGCGAGGCGCGGGCGCGGTGCCGCGAGTGGGGCCGCGCGGCCGGCGGCCGCCGCCTCCTCCGCGCCCGCCCGCTCGTTCCATGATGGGCTACATCATGGGCTGTGCATGCCTCAGAGGTAATATGCATGTCACCCGCATACCTCCACCAGGCTTCATTTAAACCCAAAGTGCCCAGAGAACGCACCACTTAGTTTATAACGAGCAATTGCCTTTTCAGCTATAATAAGTGCCTGCAAGCCTTGACCCGAAGCGGTGATCATAGCTTTGTCTAATTATAAGCGAACGTTGTTGTAATAACTTTAAAATGCCACGTTTAGTGCAATTTATCTAATCTTTAAACTGGAATATAAAAAACAAACGGCGCGCAACGCTAAAAATGATACTAACGCACTTTCACGTAGTAATTGATCGTATCTAAGACTTTCTGCTCAGCTATTGTCTGCGTCACTCTCACATTACAACACAATACCTGATTTAAATTGTATTAAATTATACCAAATAGGTGGATAAAGCCCATTTGACGGTACCGTTAATATCAGAGGGAATTTTTTTATTCCATGATAGTTTAGATTTTATGGTCGACGTTTTTAATCTTTTTGAATATTTGATGATATTTAAATTAGACGTTGAAATTTCGTTTTTTAATAATCAATATTAATATTATCTATAAAAAAGAAAAAAAAACATTCTTATGGAACATATAGCTATATTTAAACATCCAATTGTACCTAAAGATACAACTCTAAAACACTATATCAGCATGAAATTTTGAATAAGATATATTTAAAAGAATATCCAACCCTCGAAGGCTGGTCTTTGAATATTCCAATTACATGTAGTGTGTAGAGTGTAAAGCGTTATTTTCTGCATACGTTTCCTGCAGTTTGCAAGTAGAATATGACTCGAATATTAAAATTGATCATCACCTGACGTCATGCGGCTTCAGATGTGGGTGTAGACTGTGTTACAATATGCGTGGGAGGATGACGCGTATTTCTCTACTTGCACATTATTAGTGGAAAGTACAGTGAGATGAATGACGTAATTTCAAGCACATGAACTAGAAATAATTGTAGTCGATTGCTCTAAAGCCTTATATGTTTAAGTAGTTTTGTCATTAAGACGTAATTAAAAATTTTCAGATACCTTTTGAGTTGTGGAATTTGAAATAGTTAAGCTAGATTGTATTAGAAGTTTAGTATCAGAACTTAGTAGTTAATCTTATCTTAGATAGTATTGCATCTTTATTTGAATTACTCGTATTTGGTAGAATTATTCGTATACAATTAGTAAACAGTATTAGCCATGGTTTGATTACTGTAAGGCTTTATTTATTAAACGTCTTAATCAAAGTATACTATCGTTCGTCATAATTTATAATAAAATCGTTTTGACACTCAATCTAATAATTTTATGCTATGTAAATCATAAAAGTACCAACATATTCCAAATACATACGAATCATATTATAAGAGACATCTATTCGAGGCACATTCAAACAATAAGATAACGCTGAAGGAGGCATAACGGGTATTAATTTAGTCTCCATGTCGAGCGCACCGCGACGCTCCGTGAATATCCTACAAAGTTTCTCAAGGACGAAATCCGGGTCATTGATCTTATACTGGTACCCATATAGAGATTACAGAAATTATCTTCGCTCATCGCTGACTCAATACGGACATATCCAATGCTGTTTTGGTCGTCTTTTGTTATTGAAAACAAAAAGTTTAATGTTTTAATTGGTTTTTATTTTATTTTATGCATTTAATGTTTACTTGATGCCTTTATTCTGCTGGACTTTTTTGATTACATACATTCCGTGCCTGATTTTATTCGGTTTAGATTCAGTTATAATATAAAAAAGATACATCTTCTGTTTTGTATAGCTCTGTATGCAAAAATATATTTTATATAATTATTTTCGTAAAATATAATTTATTTTATTTAACTTAAGAAACGAAAAGTAAAAAGCAGTGTACATTTTAAAAAGATGAATGCACTGTGGTGGTATTGAAAGTGGAACAAAGTGGGAATGAATAGATGGAGTTCAGTGAACTTTGATAAGCATAGCGGTGTTAGTTTTTTGCTACGCGTTAACACAAGAGATGAATGGCGATAAATTAAAAATTCAAAACAAAGCTCGGCGACGCGTGGGCGACTAGAGCGCGCAGGGCGGGTGGCGGGCGGCGCGCGTCGATCGAAGAGCGCGCGCGGAGCCGTGCTAGGGCGGGCGGGGGTAACGATCCGGCCGCAGTCTTCCAACTGTTAGCGCGCCGCGAGCATGAGCGACGTCGGCACGCTCGCCGCGATGGATGCCTTCGCGGGCGGCGCGAGGCGAAGGCCCTCGCGCTTGCCGCCGCCGCCGCCCTTCGTTCCTCCGCCGCCGCCGCAGCGAAACGACCACTACTACGTGCGCCGCAAGTCCCCTGTGCCCAGGCACTCCTCTAACCTCACGCTCTTCGCGCGCACCAACGGTACCCATCATCACCGTCAACCATTTGCACATGCCTTATCACCACTTCTCGCATTCTTATGAAACTAGAAATTTAATTGTAAATATTTTTCATATTTACATCACTGTTTTTGATTTTGGAATTTGATTTTTATTTGTGTGAATGTTTTGTATTAAGCTAAGTTCTAAATAAATTTAAATTTCGTCGTCAACAAATTCCCTCTTCATGTTATTAAAAAAACATTAACATAATTTACATAGTGTTGCTTTATTTAAAAAGTTTTACTTCATATAATTAAAAAAAACCAATAACCAAAAAGTTTTGTAATTTACTCAAAATATTTGTTTTATTCTTGCTTTATCGCTTTTCTTCTTTTTAATTTATATTATCTCCTTACATCTCAAATCTGTATGGACTTGATATAAACATACGAAATAAATAATATTCATAATTCTATATTATTAATTATTTTTTTCCGGTCAATTTACTATATGCACTAGGAAAATTGTTTATTAATATAATATAAGAAAGTAACGATTTTGCATAAATATTTTTGGTAACCGTTATCGAAAGTAATACAAATATTATGCCTTTAATATTAGTAAGTATATCTTCACATCTATCAATGCTCATAACTTTAACATTATAATTTCACGAGCTTTTATTCACAGCATCGCACGTCATTTAATATTTAAAGCTTTTAATATTTTACAGCCGATGCAGTCATTTTCAACCTAAAGCCGAAATGAGGTTACCACAATTAATTTATAATACGTAATGTTGACTTTTTGGTGGTTAAATATGCACGAATGACCTCGTAAAACTATTTGCGATTGAGGTGTGGCGTATATCTATGACATTCTAACTGCTCAATAAACGCCGACGACAAGTGTTTACGAATTTAAAAAAAGAATTTATTATGCTTCCAATGTTAAATTAAAATATTTTAGGCGCATACCACAGCTTATTAGTTCACTTTGAGAGCATATTTGAACGGTTTCGACAAAGGACATACCTAAGCGAATTTATTCAGGGAACTATGCGGTGGCGGCCACTGCGCCCTTGACCTGCTATTGCTTCCGCCTCTGCTCTCGATACGAACGCTCTATTAACGCCCTTTGTTGTCAACACAATACTATATCTGATCTCCGTATTGTTATATGCTTATTTAAAAGCGCAATATTAATGCCGCGGCAAACAATAGCCAGCATTTCTCTTATTCCTCTCTCATTATACTCGCAATTTATATACTTTTCTCGCGCTTTGAAGTGAAAACTATCAACTATTACTAACCTTCTAATATATAAATAGTATTGACAAGGAGTTCGAATAAGTTACAGCATTAACAATACAATTCTGTAAACGTCTTTGCGGCTGTGTGTGCCCGAAGACTATACCTATCTAACACATGTTAATATTTGCGAATGAACCATCGAAAAATCTTAAGAATAATTTTAAAGCTTTTAAATAAATTATGAGTTCCCTTTTTTAGTATGCTGGAATTTTACAGCATATTTTTGTGAAATTAAATTCTTTAGAAAAGAGCAGTGTTGGCCTAGTGGTTTCAGCGACTTTTACCTTGGGCCGTAGATTCGATCACCGGCTGTGCACCAATTGACATTATATGTGGCGCATTTAACACTCACTCGTACGGTGAAGGAAAAAATCGTGAGGAAACCGGCATGCCATAGACCCAAAAGGTCGACGGTGTGTTAAGCACAGAAACAAATACAGAAATCTGAAGCCCAGAACTATAAGCTTGTAGCGTATAATATATAGAAAAGAACAAACTTGTTTATATTATGTATATTCTGAATGGTCAAGTTTTAATTTTATTCATTAAATTACCTTGTTAGCCTACATACAAATTTACTTTTATAGGCGAACAAAATTTATATTGACACTGAAAGCGGGAGTCGTGAAAAATGACGATAATCGCTGGATGTCGCCCACGCACCACCTCGTCACTGCGTTCTTAATGTTGGATAAAATCCACGAGCACGCTCTCGACCTAGTTATGTCTATTAAAATTTGATATTCCTGCTATCAAATAACTTTGGCATGAAATATCATAGAATTAGAAGTTTAATTGCAATTGTCTCATAATTTGATAAATACTCGCTTAAAGTCAAAGATCATATTGAAAGTAATGTTTCTAAAGAGGTTTTGTCAAGGGATTATACATTTCGAAAACGTATTTTTTTTAGATAATAATAAAATAAAATTAGCAATATTAAATTTATAATTTATTAATATAGGTATAATATATTCTTATAAACGTCAGTAAAACATTAATGCTTCTAAATATAGCGGCTAATCCCGGCTTAACTGGACATTGCCTATATTACTCCAGGGATAATGTAGAATTCTTGAAATCGGTCCAGTACTTTTGTATTAATTATTAGTAACAAACACAAATGACTTTATAATATTTGCATAGATATAAAATCATTTGATGATTTTTATTTATTAATATTCAATATTATCTCCAAACGCGTATTGTCGACTCAATCTATTATTATTATTATTATTTTATTAGTACCTACATTGTCTTTTGGCCAGATGTTTGATTTAAAAATTGTAAATATTATTTTTTTATTTCTTAAATGGCGGTGGATTTCAAACTGTTTAATAAATATAATTACAGCTTTATTTCAAGAGAAAAATAAATGTATTCTTGTACAATCACAAATACTAGTTTAGTGAAGGCGAACACATAACAGAAAAAGTTTTACAGATTTCTAAGGAAGACACGATGCTAGCACGTATCGCCGAATGTCACCCAGGGACATACGTAATAATATGAAAATTCGCTTTCCAACCATATGTTTTATATTGCATTCTGTATGCAACTTTTGAGTACGTACACCCCTGACTCTAATAAAACCCTAGAATATTCTCTCTTTACATTGGAGAAAACTAAAGATTGGAATGTTAGGTCATATTTCTAGGTTATTGTGTCTGGGCAATAGTAATCTTGACATTGTTTGTAATTTTGGATGAGGAGCAGCCATTTCTCGTGCCATTGGCATATTTCGGCAATTACGTCACGAGATGCGGCCTTCTGAGTGATTTATTGATATTAATGTTTGCGTTTCTTGTTCCATTGTATTTTATCAGACATAATATACTAATTGAGAGTTAAAAGTAAAAAGTTTGGTGGCATCAAAAGAAATCATTAAAAAGTTTTAAGTCTTATCGTATCTACCTCCTTCTGCTTTCGTCTATCTATGTTTGCCATAGTAATTTTGTATGATGATTCGATATTTTAAAAGAGTACCGAGAGATTTTTAACAGGGTTTTTCTCTCGGCTTACATCCTCTGTCTTCTTTGCCGATGAGTAGGGATGTCTACCGATACAAATTTAATGACGTGGATAAGTGATACCTGTATCTTATAATCCATAATAAACATATATTATTTTATTTTTATTGTATTAGGAATGATCAGCTCTGCTTATGCATTGCGTGACAGCCCCACGACTGGTAAAATCCACCTTATCATAGTAGGATTTTGTGTATATATGATAAAAAGTTCATTATCGTTGTATATTATATATGTTGTGTCTAAATTTTTGTATATGTTGTATCCGTATAGTAAATTTAAAAAATATAACACCTGTGTGTGTCGTATTTATATTCGTATAATTCGACATCTATTTTTTATGAAGTAATTTCGTAGTAACACAAAGAAATCTTGTGAGACCCCGGGCAAATGCCACCCTATCTCCACTTGTCCTTGTCGGCAGCGACAGCCTACTAACATAGAAAAATTTCTTGATATTTGTTGCTTTACGCGTTAATGGAATTTGATAGTAGTGTAATCCTAATTGGTTTTTAATGGCCAGTTCTGTTCGTCTAATAGTTTTTCTGTATGGCAAGCCGATTAGTACCTTCCAATAATAAACAACTGCTACCTGTATACTTTTATGGAATTAATAGAAATATTTTTAAGAGTTTGTTTATTTTACAGTTTTTTCTTAGTTCTATTAAAATAAAACTTTATTAGTCAATGTTATTATTTATTAGAAATATCTAATATATCGCGCAAAATCGCGTTTTTGTATAACCGCCGCCTATATAACACGGTATTTACCCTCTATAACGCGGAAATGTATGATTTGTCAAGTCCGTAATTAGTTTTGCGTATCTTTGCACTTGTTTCAATTGTGTTATAAAATTAAACTTAATAACTTTATTTTAATTCGTGTTCCTAGTTTTTGAATTGTTAAAAAAGCGGTTTTGCAATAGACCCAGACTGCGTTATATTTTTCTACACGGATTACTGTATTTAAAAGAACGACAAAACCTTTTTTTAAGCGCCAGGTAAAGGTTAAAATATCTAATACAAAAGTATAGAACAACTAACTTAATATCTAATTTGAAATATGGAATTAATTCATTATTTCACTTTTAACCTCTGTGTCAATTACTAATTCATTTATTAATTTACATGTTATCCTAATAATAAAATATTAATTCCTTACTCTATGAAAACAGATGGATAACAAACCGTACATTTTGCTAAATTGTAATCATATTGGACACGAAACCGTCTGTCAGGCAATTTGTCTGAAGGTCGTAACATTTATCTGCAGAGTGCATTTCTCGTCTTAGATCTTAGAGTTACATAATGCTGCAGAACGATGTCCTCGGCTCAGGGTAGCTCGGCCAAGGGCGGCCGTATCGATCGAAATTGGATCTAACTCCTGCCTCCCTTTCTCTCTCTCTCTCTCAATGACACGTAACTACGCATGAATTGGTTGACTGTTTCCGAACTATTTCCTTACGCGAGTTTCATGAAATATTTAAAAAATCAGTGGCGCTAAAACCTCTTTAGGCCTGGACCACAGATTTATGGTGTGTTTCATGATCATTTTTAAATCTAATAGGCAAGTCACCTACTTGCCTATCAGCTTCCATTGCCTGACACACGCCGTCGACATTTTGGGTCTAAGACATGTCGGTTTCCTCACGATGTTTTCCTTCACCGTTCGAGCGAATGTTAAATGCGCACATAGAAAGAAAGTCCATTGGTGCACAGCCGGGGATCGAACCTACGACCTTGGGATGAGAGTCGCACGCTGAAGCGCTCATTGGAATGAAAAATATTTATTTAAGATTATTTTGACAGTTGACTCGTGACTATGAAAACAAAGTACGCGTAGATTTTAAAATTAGTTGTGGCAATTAATTATAACAACGAACTAAACCGAAGTCGATTTTACTGTGGATTCATACTTCGTCAGTCGCACTCTTCATTCCTGAAGGTCGTGTTAGTGGCGCCGCACAACTTCCTCGCGCTTGGGTGATGGTAGGACCTCTAAGGACCAGTGAGAAGGGGATTGGTGTTGAGGTCTGGTGCGCTACAGTCTGCGTGTTACGTGTCCAAAAAAAAGTGCGTGCCTACAAATTACACATGTCAGAAGTGAAACTTCTTTGGCAAACTAATTTTTAAGTCTTGTGCATATTTATACAAATCTAAAACTTTAGATTTCCGAGACTTGGAGAGAGGGAAAAAGGAAGATATGCTGGGAATTTAATGAATTTAATTGTGATTAAAATATTAAATGTGTCGAAAATTTATACAAATTATAAATTGAATTTTTTAAATTTATCTCTTCGATAATAAAAACACGTGGCGTTTTAATTTACAATTGGTCATTTGAGATTTCAATAAATACTTTTGCATAAAATATAAAATACTAATATATCATAAATTCTCTTTACGAAATATTAATTTTAAAAATAGAATTTCTATAAAGTAATTTGCCTTTCTCACTCTTTCTCGAAGTTTCACTTCAAAAACGAATACTTTTGATATTTAAATGAAAACCAAATACATTTAGATATTAAAAATACTGCAGTTTGATCAAAGAGGGGTGGCAATCTTACAAGAATTTGTTCTTTTCTGCGAAGTCTAAAAAAAGGTTTCAACGACAAACGGACACATTTCCGAGTTAATTATAATGTTTAGAACATTCGCACCAATGACCTTAAAATGGTTCGCAGTTGACCTTTCATATTAGATCTGCAATTAACACTGAAGGTGATTTAAGTTATATCGACATTCGCGTGATGATAAAAGGCGATTTTGCGCTAATAAATTCTATTGTAAGAGTTTCGACATTTGTAGCAACAGCGGCAAAAATTGAATTTTATTATTGCTACATGCACTGCAATACTTTAATTTACATTTGAGGCATACAGTTTTTAGGATTGGGTTAATATGGTTCATAATTCCGAGACCTGGATTTTTGAGCAGAGAAACTGTTAATGCTATGACAATAGATAAAGGGTTAAGGGGCAAGGGGACAACAAATCAAATCAAAATCATTTATTCATATAGGTAACACAATGTACACTTATGTACTTAAAAAAAAAATAACTACATATTAAATGCTTCTAGTACATTTACAAAGTTGTTACACTCCGTTAATATAAATATATATCACTAGCTGCCCCCGCGAACTTCGTTTCTCCTTAATGTGATTGTACTTAGCCTATCTTTTTAGTACATACCAACATGGAACATTTTGCTATGCTACCCCAGAGACTGTTCGGTTTTCTGGAATGATTATTTTAGGTTTTTCTGTGAATTGTTCTCTTTATAAACTTTAGAGTTCAAGTCATAAGATTTTAATTAACAAATAAAAAATAGGGGTTGATCGTAGAGGGGTAATAATTAAGGGTTGTATGTATTTTTATATGCTGTATCATAAAAAAATAAAACGAAAAATTTTATCTATAAAATAAAAAAATTGTGGAAGCCTTAACATTTAGGGGTTTGAAAGATAGATAGTAGCCGATTCTCAGACTTACTGAATATGCATAAAAAAAATTCATAAGAATCGGTCGAGCTGTATCGGAGGAGTATAGGAACGAACATTCTGACACGAGAATTTTATATACTAGATATAAAGCAATACTTTAAATAATATTTGTTTTTTAATTATCTCCCAGAAATAGACACCAAAAAAAGTGTCTGGCGTAGTTTCATTTATATCGAGTTGTTATTCATACTGTAAACGACGCATACATTTTGGGTTAAGCCTTATAACCGGTTCAATTGTTTTTAAAAACAAAAATGTATTTATAATACCGATTATTGCCCTCGCTTATAGGGTAGAGGCAGCTGTACCCGAGTCAGGATGCAATAGTTATTTATAATATTCCAAGCTATCAAGGCCGTTGAGTGTCGGCGCCAGCGATGAATGGGAGTCGCGTGTTACAACAGAAACCGTCATTTGACTATAGTCTATTCTTAGATTTCTTCTCAGCGTACGAGAAACATGACGTTAGGCGTTTTTATACACCATACGTAAATTTTTGTTGTTTGGAACCGATATACATTACTTCCAGTTGGATTCTCAGTTCTCATAATCCAGTGTTTCCCAACGTGGGGCCCATAGGGGGGAAAAATGATTGTTAAGGGAGGCAATCTAAATCGACTGGTTATAACACAACGTGGAGACTGCAGCTTTCCAAATTGGAACCTAATATAAAATCTATGTAGCAAGCATTAAGTTCAAGGATCTCACTAATTTAAATTAATATAGAAAAATCTTTAATAAAATTATCTGGTATTTGAATTTCAGTTCATTTTGTTTTGAAAATTATTTATTGTGTTTCGTTAACAATTTCCTATTGATTTCTTCCTAAATTAAGAAACCTATGATTAAAGTTACTTTACTGAACCCTCCATTTTGTTTTTATTATGTATGTTACATAGGGGGGCGTAACAGTTTTTCAATTTTTCTTTTTATTGTCAATTAACACTTGTACGGAGGGAGGTTACACGTTGTAGTATAGTCTGACGACGTGTCTCAGTTAACAAGCTACAGTTGGCCAGCGTTGGTTAATGGTCTAAGGGTAATATAAGTACTACTGTACAAACATTACAAGTCCACATAGTATCCCTAACTTCCGTACTAACTGATGTGAAACTGATCTAAAATTATCGTGTGTGCACTTTTTCTGTTTCATGTGTCTTTTTTTTTAATATTGTCTTGATCCCTGTTCACATATTATGTATTAATTGCTTTGTCTTTTCCATTAGTTTTGTCTGTCTTGCTTCCCTTATCTATTTTTTTTTCTCACAGTGGTTGCCTGAAAGAGATCCCTCGAAAGGGATTAGGCCGCCAGTTGCCCTCCATTTCATTTAATTATGTCAATTGTGTTATATTTCTGTATAATATTTAAATCTGTATCTGTCATACAAGTCGCTACTTGTATGTTTAAAACGCAATGAATTTCGACAGACGAGTCAAAATTCGACTGTGAATCTTAGTCTAAAACGTAGACGATTTATGACCAATTTGTCTATAGAAAATTAAATACAGATATATGTTTGCCACAAGCTCTGTTTGTGTTTAATGTTAAACAATGTTCTAATACGTATTTTAAAGTTAATAATAATCATTTTAAGATTATAACTCTTATCTTCTAAGATAGGCACGGATAAGCATGTGAGTTAAAAATATATGACCGACTAAAATGTTACCACTTTTGGCTGGTCATAAACTAGACGCGTTTTCAATTCGTTAATTCATATAAAATTGTGTATGGCTTATTATTTATTTGTTCAGATAAAATAATCCATCATTATGTTAGTATAAACTTACGGACTAGTGTTAGTATATTGTTATGAAAAACCTAAACATAAAACCCATGAACAAGTGTACGCACAAAATGTCTCTTAATAGGCGAAGAGTGAAGACAGGTTATCTGCCACAGTCTTCAAGATGCTGTTCCGACAGCCTCGTACCCGGCTCAACAGAGATCTTGTTGTAATTCTAATATTATTATGAGCATCCCCTATGATTACCTTCTCGTCTGATATGAGAGAGAATGCTTAATGTGTTCTGTTTTTAATAAGAACGATTGAAATGTATGTTTTGTGCGAAAGCGTATTCGCTGTATTAGTTTTGAATGGTGCAATTAGCTGCAAGTCGAAACTACGAAAGACGCAAGTGTTAATACAAATACAGCTCGTGCCAAATACAGCATACTGCACATTTAGTCGAAAATAGATTGGTATTAAAACAATACTGAGTTGGGCCTTGCAAAGTAATCCTGTTCAGCTTACGACGATACGGATTTCTAAGCTGATAATTTTTAAAGAACCAAGTAAAATCACAAAGATAAATAGAATGCAGGAATGTATCTAAAATAAATTAAGAAACATTGCACACGCGTTAGAAATTATACTTCTTTGGCGTAACAAGATAAAAATCTCTTCAAAAATTTTATTCTACGTTTGTAGAAAAAACGACACTAACAATAGAAATAAGGTATTTAATACATTGAAAGTTTTAGTATAACGCATTATCTAGTTAAATAAAGCTGACTTCAGAGTGTCGCTTATTTGTGACGGTGTACGCATTGTAAAAATTTACACTCATCATATTTCCTTAACGCGCCAAAAGAAGTATAACTTCAAAAAAAAATTGTATTGTTGTGGACAACAATTCTTCGTCTAACTCCATGATTCAACCGCTCAAATGATATAAGTTTTTTATTTACTTAACGATATTCGAGAATCGAAACAGTTTACCTTATTAATGGGAGGGCTATTTTGTATGGCAATGACTGATGAATGATTAATATCTTTACAGAACCAAAGAAAGACAAATTGGAAAATGGAGGTGAGCTAGTGAGACCCGAGAGGCCGAACACGTTGTCGGCCGGCAAGCTTCCGAGGCGGATATGTTATCAAGGAGACGGTGAGTCAAGCTACTTAAGATATCATTAACATCGCATACCTAAGCTAAGTACACTTTAAATAGAAAATAGATAATCTTTTATTATGCCAATAATTAAGAAAATACTTGGTTTAAAGTATACTGTACACACGAGATTATTGGTGGCGCGAAGTGGCTACCGCGAGGCCACTTAGGCTAAAAATCACAGCCAAACAGGCCAACCCAGGGTAATAGACAAACAAAAATACAAAATAGCTGTCACAGTATCTTTATCAGTTTACCTATATAACATAGTTCTACATTTAAACCAGCCATATTGCAGATTTTCTAGATATTTCAACGTGGCTATAATAACACAACAGACATTTTTATATACTGAAGTATATAAAAATGTCGTCATGCCAATTCCTGATGAGTTAAATTAAGGGTTATTAACGTGAATCTTAAATAAGGTTTATAATCACTGAGGAATCCTGGCGCGGCTCCAAGGTCTCTTAGCAAATTCCCTCGAATGTTCTATTATTGTTTGGAGATTCACTGTCAATGTTGTTTAATGATATGATTATATTCTTTCGCGGAATATTTCACGCATCGTGCGCTGTGACCTTGCTTTACTAGAACCAGTGTCATCGTTGACTTCCACCATGTTACATGTGTCACGTGATACACTTGCACACCTTGCGGTGCCTGCAAAAATCCTAGATTTCTTAATTTACAGCATATATGCCAAACAATAATTGTAATACATAGACTAACTTAGATATTACCTATGTTTACCATGCCTTAACTGTGCATGGGACCTATTTGTACGTTTGGTTGATACTTTTATGTCACAGGTAACGGATCTTCTATGCCTGCCTAATTGTGGTTTCACCGATGTGTAGCCGCGTTATATACGGATTTTACGTTATCAATTATGCCGTGGAGGTGATTAATTCTGTAATTACCGGACAGTAAAATCGTTAAATATATAATTTGTTATCGTTAGTTTGAACATTCTATACCGTAAACAAATAAAAAGATTTCGCAACATAGATTGTATATATGTTATATGAACATTTAAGAGTTATAATTGTTGACAAAACTTACTAACTTAAAACTCTTCCACATTATAAAGGCACCATACCTTTAAAAACTAATCTCTTTTCCCTTGAAAGCATTACACGGCTGTGATGTATAACTTCTGTGAAGGTGATTAAATAGTTTGACAGCCATGACGTTACAATTTTTCAATACATAAATATACCTTATTTAAAACCGAAATAGGATTAGTGAGATCAAAGTATTTGACACAATATATGAACGCTTTCGGGAAGACAGTCTCTGCCACTTTCGCTAGCTGTACTTGATTGCTTTTACAATGATTCAGTTTATGTTTATAGATGTCGCCACTCGATCGTAACATTGATTACTTCACGAAATGTTTGGCCGGTTCTATTTCGTCAATTTTACGATCTGTATACAACTGATTGCTTGATCTATTGTGCTATTATTAAAGATTTATAGGTATATATCACATCATTATTTCAATTACACTGTACATGTCTAAGGTATACTATGCTATGCTAAGTGCTTTTGAATTTCCGGTTTTTTTGGCCGTGACTGGACAGTGGAAGCGCTTGAACGTGGTCAACGTCGACAACGAAATGTTTTTCGTTTTGGATCCAACATGGAAGCTTTCTAAGCCGACATTATACAGCACGAACTTTATTATTCCAGCGGGTGGGTATGGTGGTGGAAGCGATGGAACGGACGGCAGTTCCGAGGAGCAACTTATGCTTTCGGAATTGCCGGAGCCGCCCATCGCGCTATCCGATATAGGACCCATTCCTCCTCCGCCTATGTTCAGCTCGCCAAGCCCAACACGACATCATCACCAGCATCCTTTGCCGCATCCTTTATCTGATTGTAAGTAGCTTTTAGCTTGAACATCGACACCCCTATACATAAACGTACTATAAGGCTAATATAAACATTATATGGTTTAATTTACAAACGGTGGTAAACCCAATGGTGTAAAAAGAATAAAGTTTCTGTGTATGTTTTACTGATTGTTAACCCAAAAAAACATTTTTTTTTGTCTAGGAATTGAGGCCTTCCAGGGCTTTAAATAATTTACCTCTTCATGAACTGATTCAGTGCCTAAATGATACAAATTGTCTATAAAATACTTTTATTAATCAATTTACATATTAAAAAGGTCGCTTTAAGATTTGCATATGAATCGCTTAAAATATGAGGGTTTTAATATTATACAAAAGTTGGAAGAAGTCTAATAATATTTTAACCTCAATTGTATGAACATACTGTACAGCGTTATGTATGTTTTTGGGTAAATTGGACATTCTAATTATATTTATTATTAGCTCCCTAAAATCAGGATATACTCATTGCTGACGCATTGCGTAGAATACAATACATAGAGTACATAGCCTTATTTAAAGGGTTAGGTTTTTCGATCACACTAGTAGTATGTATTTCATTTAAAAATACATAATTATGAATGTGATTAATCTGTAATTAAACGCTGCTGAGTTTCTCGCCTGACTTCTGACCGGTACACTAAACTTTTATGAAATTTTAATATATCATAATAATTTTTATGATTTTCTATTTATAATGTAATTTATGTGTCTCACACATTTCTTATAAATGTTTCAACTAGCTGAAGATGAAGATGACCAAGACGATGATGACGTGGAAACTCCAATAGATATGTCCCGAATTGAGGAAATCCCACCGAAGGAGCCTAGTTTCAATGCGGTTCCACTCAAATCGGCTCTTAAGAAGCGACCAGCCCCTAACGCGTCACCCAATCCCACGCCCATCACAACACCGCTAGCACCGAGACAGGATCACCATCACGCCACATTTAAGTCAGTATAACTTTAACTAAATTTAAATATTCAGCGCAGTTAAGTAGATTAATTAATAGTTTTTGTATACAGGGATTTAAGAACTTTATGTAGTGGCCAATTTAAACCGCCCGTGATGGATTATTAAATTTGATTGCTATTTTTTTATGAAAAATGATTGGTTGTTTAATTGTACGTTTTATTCCATCACTCGGCGCACAGACGGCCGCCGCCGAAAACAAGGATCCGCATATGGTAATAGTCTCCCGTTATCAGTGTTGTCGAGTCATTATCATACTCACCCACAACACACATAACAGACACACTTCAATACTCACACCACGCACGCGTATGCACACTCGCGTATAGATGCGCGCACTCACACATGTAACGGCCTCTTGACGGTTACGCTTTTGCATCGTGCAATGCACACTTTCACATTGTGTCTAAAATATACTAATACTAATTAAATTATTAATTAACCATTTGAGTTTTGTTAATAATATTAGTTTTAGAAAATCTAATCTTTGTGTTCTCGCATTTCGTTCATGTGGTGTAAATATGTAAAATGAATAAAGATTTTCATGATCAAAATTTTAAATATAAAATGTTCGGCACGCATCAAACTTTCTAAAACAAACATTTTATGTACGTAGAGACTTTGAATAGATTATAAATATTATACAGTTATAGGATATCGAAATATTTTCTTATTACATCAAATACATAAAAACAACACAAACTTCGACACTGCATGCCACAGAGCAGTACGCTTTAGGTGTTTGAATTTCAGTAGAAGACATTAGTCTTGTGCATGGACGTCTGAAGCCATAGACAATAAATTTCCTCTTTCCTCTGTAGTCTAATCTACCAATCAATAATATTTTATTGATTCCAAAAAAAAAATTGGTCTTAATTGCGTTGATAGTTAAATTTTACGTAGGGTTTCTTATGTCCTGCTACGAGCAGTAAATTTTCTACGTAGATTTGAAGAAACTAAGATTTTGAATGTAGAAATATCGAAAGCAATATAATTTTTTGCTAGTAATAATAAATAAAATAAGTAATGAAAAATAAAATATTAAAAAGGGGGGGCCGGTCTATTTCTCTATATAATAAGTCGTCACTTGAAATTGATATTTCAAGTAAGTATTTCTTTAAGAAAAACGTCTCAACGATGCTTTGACGCGCTCTACTTATTTCGCAATAAAAATGCTGTCATTGTGATTTTTAATAAAAAAAGGTAAAAAGGCAGCAAAACCGAGAAAGTTTCCGCAGTTTCTTTTGAATTTTTTTCCTCTCGAACTTGAAACAAATTTGGAATTATTATATTCTTATAAATAAACCTCCCTAAGAAGCTATTAAACCCATCTTTACTGGAGACTAGTTATTAAAATCATTCGTAATTTCTTCTAAATTTATAAATACGCGTCTTAAGTAAGAATATATTGTCATATTAACGTTATATATTATTATTTAGATAAATAAAAAAAACTTGCCCCTTCATAAAAACGAAAAGAAAATTAGTTATAATAAATTATTTCTCCAGTCTCTTTTCTTTGATGTTCTCTATGGCCTAAGCGGCCGGAGGAGATATTATTTTGCAGAAATCAGAAATCTACGCGTTCTCTAAAGTTTATTACATATTTTGACATAGGGGGACAATTTTAGTTAGAAGTATAACATGACTCATTTAGGTGTAAATAATAAAAGGTGTTTCATCACATATGTAGTTCTGTAATTAATATTAGACTAAGACTTTATCATTAATTAACTAATTTAAAATACTAATAAATATTTTGTTTTATTAGCACAAACAGTCGGCCGATACGTGTAGTCAACACACTAGAAAATAAGGAGAACAATCGTCCGGTCCAATGGGAAGGTGAACATCGCGATGATTATTCCAGCGATTCTGAACGCGTCGCTGCGAAACTCGCGAGGAAGGAAAGCCTTAACATCAAGTTGGCTTTGCGCCCCGATCGACAGGAACTCATTAACAGGTATATTTACTACGAAAACATACAATCGTATAAATTCAGTCATTTTTTCGTGAATTAGAACTAATAATGGAATAATGAATATGTTCTGTAACGAATTGTACAATTTTTTTTAATTAATTTATTAGTCACATGACCTGTGTTAAATCTGTGTTGCCCGCTTATGATGTAACATGCTTAAAGTATTTAAACGTGACAAATATTTATAATTTAAATAAAACCTCTTTAAGAATATATACTTTAGAACATTATCAATCTTGCGAAAACCAAAGACAATAGAAGTGTTTATCTTAGTTTTTCGTATAATAAAAAGGGTGGTGTAGCATATTTTTTAATATTTTACCAGGTGTTAAGCTTACGTAAGGAAGGTTAAGGCTTAGGGTAACACATGATAAAACGATACTCCGGTGTTAAATTCCCAGAGCGACAATAACTGTGTTAGATTAGTAGCCTAAAAAAACTCACACACGCTTAAAAGATAGACATTGAATGTTATATTCATATGTATTTATGCTACAAATTTATAATGTACTTTTTTCACAACGTAAGGTTTTCGTGTATTTTGAGATTCTTTGTATCAAAAAGTTCAATGTTCTTTGCGACTGAAATCGATTTGCTAATTGCCACTCAACTTTATTTACTTTAATACGTTAAAATGCTAAATACAAGCTTTTAAATGAAATTCAAAATAAACGAGCTTTAAGTTTTTAATAACGATTAAAGTTCAAGCTTTTAAACCTGCGATGTTCATTAAAACTTGTTTGAAATTATTCTGTGATAAAAATAGCACGTTACCGGGTTGACAAGGGCGTTTATGTAGACTTGCTTTATGTACATAATATAGTACTTTTGAACCAGAACCCAATATCATATGTTTTAACATTGACAATATTTTATAAATTATAAATTTTGTGACATGAGTAATAATAATAGTGATAAAAACGGTTGGATAATTTTTTTATTTATGTAAAGTGTCTGCACAAAGACACATTTTAACATTACGATCTAGCCTTACTTGAGAGTAATAAGTAATTGAAAATTAACATAATTTAATAAAAAGGCTATTTAGCATAATAAACTGTCCAATAACGCTACTTAAAGTCTGTATTAAAGGTCTCCGTACTTTTGTGTCAATTAAGAAAAATTTTACTTATAATATTCTATACAGTTTTACAATTTCTTATTCGACTTTTTGGATGATAGAGGGTAGCAGGCACAACGGCTTAATTGATCGTGAAACTCTTTACTACTGTCAACCTGACATGTCTGAATGAATTGTATTTCATTACTGAACGATAGAGATCGTTTTTCCTTTCATATTGTACTATTGCCGTATTAAAATGAGACAACTAGAATTTATCCATCCCAAAGCTGCTGTTTAGATGTTACTAGCCAATTATCACAATTAGCAAATATCTAAGTCAAATTCAGAGTGGACATTTGAAGTAGCCAACGAGCTCAAATACATTGGCAAGACTGTGAATATTTATATAGATTTTAATTAGTGGGAACATAGTTTTTTATGGTCTGGTAGGGAGATGTTTACGACGACGACACGAGAACGTAGTTTTACTCTTAACATGGATCGTGGCGAAAATAGATTGTGTGTTAAATGAAAGGCGAATTGGCAAATGTTTCGATTTTCAGCGATCTGTTGATTGGTATTTGTTTGTCTTAGTTTTACGCGAAAACAACAGACAGAGACTATCAAAGTCTCACGCTGATTGATGAAATCTTGGATATGTATGTAAAAGGAGTTTTCTGCATATATTTATTTTTATACCATACACATTAAAATTATACTGCTGTAGTGACTCTAAATTTACCATCACAATCACGAAATAGTAGATAATTTCTAATAAAAAATATGGCACAAATATTCTAACTAGAATTAATTGTTATGGTAGCCTTGACCAATACCTAGAGAATGATTGTACACTGAACAGTTCCCTGGGATATTTATTTTTGTTTCCTACTTCCGTACGTTCTTGGCACTGACAATGTTGTCTATTATGCAAGTGATAGTATGCTAAAAACTGGATTTTGACGCGACGACTGATGGGCGACGGTAGTTTCACGTTCAATTACGTCGTTAATTAATTTACAAGTCTAGGTTTCGGGTTTTGGGCCTGGGCCAAAGTTTGTGTTAATCGGACATTATTAACATGTTTTCGGCCTCGGTGGGCTTTGGCAATTTTATAGGCCAGTCGCCAGTGTACGTAGGCAAGTGGGACGCGTTCGTTATGCCATCTGCATAGGGGGATTACGTCAGATATTTTTTCAAGCTAAAATGATTGTAATGACTCATGGTTGTTGATAAAGTGATTTTGTGGTTGAAAGTGATACTTTAATAATAATATAACTGACCCGCTGTGGTAATAATAATGACTCTTGGTTAGTGGATGTTATGACTTAGTGGTGATAAACTCTTGCGCAGAAACATATTGGTGGTGCAGAGTGAGCACGAGCGTCAAGAATCGTGGGAAGCGATAGGTGCTCGGCTCATTCGACGACTGTCCATGCGGCCCACTGCTGAAGAACTGGTCGAGAGAAACATCCTTAAAAGTAAGCTTCTTCTATCTTAATATCAAAGCGATATTTCAAAAAAGTGGCTACCAAACCACATTACGATGTAGCTATATATTCCCAGTTATCAATTCACTTTTGTTCTGTTTGCTCCCAGACGAGTCAGACCTCGACATTGTAATGACACTACTGTCACTAAATTTTTCCCCTTAGATTCGGAGGCTGTCTTTATCTACAGGAAACGCAAATGTTAAAGTGTCTTGGTAAACGGATTTAATTTAAATTACATTAAATTACAATATAATAAACTACTCTTTGATTCCTTTCAGGTCAATCGCCAGCCGAAGAGAAGAAACAGAAAGAAGAGAAGAAAAGATATCTTCTACGTAAGCTCAGTTTTCGTCCCACGGTTGATGAGCTTAAGGAGAAGAAAATTATTCGATTCAGCGACTACATTGAAGTCACTCAAGTATGTATTTTTAGATTTGGTGACATGACATTGACCAGCTGTGGACTTTATACGACTTACATACAAATTACCAATATTTAGTTTGAAGATAGTTATCTTTTTCTGTTTTAAGTTTAAAACATACTTTTTTGACATAATCTTGTTCCGATCGTAGAATTGATTATTTGTGAATGAATTGAAATCTACAAACAATACGATACTGTTATATAAGGATCAAACTACCATAGCGTTATGTTTATAAGAACAATAAAATTTTGTTTAACTGTCCACCATGATTTAGTAATTATTAAATTTTTTTTCATTAAAATGACCTATAGACGGTGCTTGAAACATTAAAACTCTATTCGTAAATAGATATTGAATTAATTATAACAAACTGGGAAAATAAAGGTCACTTTATAGAGATGGACGGAAACGCAACACAATTTTTAAAAGTATGTACGCTGTTGTACTATTTTTGTAACGTTTGCATTGGTGCGCAGGCGCACGACTACGACCGTCGCGCGGACAAGCCGTGGACGCGGCTGACTCCCCGCGACAAAGCCGCCATCCGGAGGGAGCTCAACGAGTTTAAGAGTTCGGAGATGGCCGTGCACGAGGAGAGCAAACATCTCACTAGGTATTTTGGACTTTTCATTATTTTTATTCCATAATATATATTATTATACTAGCAGACCGGCCAAGCGTTGCTGTGGCTAAGGTTTTTGTTATATTAAATAGTAGCAAACTATTCAAGGGAAACAGTAGGAGAACACCAGTCATGGGGACCACCATGCTTTATTGGTGGTTATGCCATTAAATTGTAGCTTATGTGAAACGTTGGTACTTTCAACACAGCGCCATCTGTTAGAATTGTGACTATCAAATAATAAACAAATATTTTGCAATAAAATAATATTGCGGGTATAAACTGAGATGTAAGCTATCCTATCTTTTAAGTTGGATCAAACTACACACGGTGTCCAAATTTGATTGATATCGGTTCGGTAGTTTAGGAGTCCATAGCGGACAAAGAACGTGACACGTAATTTATATATTATATTAAGATGTATCTTAAACACAGTAAGGGCATTAAACTCTCTTGATACGCTTAATACGTTACATTAGGTACGTACGTACGTACGTACATATATACATGTAACGTACAACGAATATAGTACGCATATGACATATGACACGTTCTTGGCTTAATGTGAAATCTTAAATGGGTTTTATTGCATCGTTAAATTATAATATTAAAGTAGTTCCCTACAGAGATAATTATATATGTATAACATTTGTGTATGTGTATGTTGTATACGATTCTTGGTTGTGCACGGATTAATCAGGTCTCATAAGAAAAAATATAATAAATTTGTTTTTTGTTCCTTCGTTGGCAATAAATTTTGATAATCGAATATTCAATCTACCGTAAGGCGTATGAGTTATAACTCTATTTGAAACTATCACTAAGAGATAGTACATAACAAACAAACTAGTAATAGCTAATATACAATTGCCAAATAAGTCAAATATATAGAATTCGTACTTCTTACGATCATTTACTTTCGTTCGAAGACCTTCTTATGTCTTTCTAACCAAATCTCCAAGATCTGCAAGAAACCTATAATTCTTTTCTTAAGCTGTACTCTGTGGAAATCGCGGCCAAAAAAACATTGTGTTTTAATCTTAAACTAATTAATTAATTAACATTGTGTATTAATATTAATCTAAATTGAGTAGAAATTTCTCCTACGTATTGTATAGCAAAATTAATTTGCTTTGGCAGAGCTGTAACTTTTATCTTATTTATTTGTATTACAAGATATATTTATTATATTTAAACCATTAAAACTATGACTAACCCATTTATCAAGGGTAAGAGTTTAAGTATTTTATTTTGATATGTCTACGTTCGTACACGTTAAATGTATACGTAAAACATGGACGATCATATTTCTATATTCGCACGTATACGTTCATGTACGTTTAGATATTACAACTATTCGTGCGTTTACACTGATTAATTTGTTACAGGTTCCATAGACCATGACGGCTGTGCTTTACCTGTGCGACGAGAGGCGGCACGAGTCGCGGTTAACACTTACCTGTGATTCTAATGTATTTATATTGATTGACTTCCCCCGGGAAGGTTCGCAATAATTACCCCACGACGGTATAAAGTGTTGATAATTCTAAATCGTTTGTACGTCGTGTGCGAGTTCTTCGATCTATAGTCACGGATAGCGAGCCCTAAGGAAGTGTCCACGTGCACGGACACCTTTACGCTTACGACGTTTTAATTGCGATCAGTTTAACGGCCGGCACTTCTGTTATCTGTGCCTATAGTTACAGTACAATTTATTTTAATTTTTTAGTTGGCATATAAGTACCTATACATTCTTCGACCTTCGCGCAAGGTTAGTGATACTGTTTGAGAGATTGAGTTTTTGAAGCTCGCGATGTGGGTGTGGTCCATCGAATGAAATGTGATTTTTCGTTTAGCCATAGTTTAGCTAGTTTTATTGGTCACAATTTTGTTATTTTGCCTCGGCTTGTTCGCCTTACTGCCGCGATCCGTCGATTGTGGCTGGTTAAATTATTCTGACTCAATTGTATATTTCTATGATATTAAAATTGTAGGTCCCTCGAAATTAATATACTTTAATTGCATTATAACTGCAATAATGTTTTGTGCGATAGAAATGATTTCTCTTATGTATCGTTTTGCTCAATGCTGGATATGCGGATATTTGATGAACGAGCGAACAATAAGACGAACATACTATTTCTCAAACTTATAGTTTAGAAATTAAGTAATGTAATAGAAATACGTAATATTTCGGCCAAACAGATCACAGATAGTTAACCGGATCATATATTCGAACCAATTTGCAATGTAATAAATAAGACTGGATAAGAGAATCAGCTTGTTGACTTTTTCTATAGAAAACGTATTTGACAGCCGTATTATATAGAAAATTTTCTGCTAGCATTTTTGGATTGGCGTAAATCGAGTTCATAACAAATAAAATAATAACAAATGTTTAATGAGAAGCGTTCTTTGGTAAGCGGTTATTTTGGTAAAGGGAGCGTTCAAGTATTACGTAACGTTTTTCTGTACCCAATAGTAAAACGTTTCGTGACCACCCAGTGACTCTTTATGCCTAAAAGTTACCATTATGTGGTGTAAAGTACTAAGTCGAAAATAATATTAACAATAACGGGTAATTCAATCCCCACCCCGCATCGTAACGTTTTACAAAAGGACTAACCAATCCCAAAATTCGTTACGTAATACTTGAACGCTCCCAAAGCCGGCATATTTGCTAGGCGAGTTGACGTTGTATTTGTAATACAGAACGCAATTTTTAAAAAAAATGCACTCTTGTGTGCCCTTCGAACTGCATAATTAAATCTTTAACATTCTATTTATTTTGTAAAATGTCGCTCGTTTATCACTTCGCAGTTTTATCTCCGGCTTGCAACTAGAAACTTCGGCGGGAACAATCTGTCGTTCTAGCGTAGGTTTAGTCTAGGTAATTCAAACGTTGAACGAACTAAGATAATTGTTTAACTAAAACGTAGCTAATTAAAATATTAATCATTTTCAGCAATAATTTGTGTTTAGCCCCTTTTTTATTAGTGAAGCTTCCGAAGTATAAACGTGGTTAAATTTTGAGCACATATTTTTATAAAGTATTAAATACATAAGTAATTAATCAATAAAATTGTTTGTATCGATAAAGCGTTTCGTACGTATGATAAGGTAGTCGACTTTACAGTTTATGGTTAAGACGCCATTCCATTTAGGATAATGTGGACGCCAAAATGACGACTTATTTTTCTAAACGTTTTTGTTAATCGCATTAACGTAGGTGTTTATCGATATTAAGAAAATCTCCAAAGATTTAAGCTTCATAGATCGCAATTGCATGCATCGTTCACATTTCGCATTTGTGTGTTACCATACAATGTGATGAATTGTAGTTATTATTCTAAATGTTATTTTAAATCGTGGTGCTGTCAATTACCATTATTTTATCGGTTTTAGTTTTAACACAGAAATCGTAACATCTTGTACATATGGACAGGTAATCATGTAGAATTCAATTTTATCGATAAACATTGTATTTCAATATGTATCGAGTAAACGATGTACATTATGGAATCTCCTTATTTCCTCTTATATCGCATGTTTGAAGTTGAGTACGACAGTAATGTACTGCTTTTATTTTTACATTGTATAAATTATTAATGACATGTTGTAATAATTAGTTATGTATAATGATAGCCATAAAATTTGTTTTATATAACAATAAGTTTGTAAATACTACAATTATACATTAAATTTTATACTCGATTGTATTTTATTACGATTCCAATACTCGTTAAACTGTCAATACATATTTGCCCTTTTTTTACATCTAAAATATAGAATGTAAAATATTTTTATTTAGGTAAGATAAATGTAAAGTTACGTCAATAAAAATAATTTCTGAAAGTCTATTTTTAATATTATTTAGTTAAATAAAATCACTAGCTAAATTATCGTAATAAACTTTTACAAGTTTTATTTAATAGAGATTGAGGCTCTATAAAAGTAATGGAATATTAATGGAGGCTTTGACCCGTTGAGGTTGTGGGGACTTTCGATGGCGTACGAGTTATGGCGCTAACTAGAGAGAAAGTTAACTGTAGTGCGTACCCAATACGGCGCGGGAGTTCGCACAAAGCACCGGGCGGAGACTCACGTCGGATCTGTTGCGTTATGCGCGACAATGTTTACATATAGCGGGGTTTTAAAGTGCTTGTGATCTGTGAGTGAAATGACGTTTTCTGGTAATATGAAGAGCAAGCCGCGCGTGAAAGATACATGGGAGTCAGAGGTGAGTTCTATTGTTATGAAATTGTGTCGCGAAGCTTTCTATGGGGTGTCTAACACTTTTCCAAGAACAATAAGCACTTTCTCCTGTTTTTGTTAGGAAAAATATATTGCCAATCGATTTGATGTAAAAAGCTTTGAAACTCGTTTTGCAACGCGACTGACGCCAATGCGGAAGTTTTATGTAAAAAGTCGATTGATTTAAGAGTGGTTTTAAATCAATTTAAACAAATAAGAACAGGACGTAAAAATGACAGGTGATTATTTTTCCTTGTTGATTATTACGTTAGCACACTACAAAAAAAAACAAATCATGCATATAAGCATAAAATTCGAGTTGCCTGCAAGAGATGTTTGTAGCGATAAGGCTGCCCGCGTCATATTTATTTCTATTTAAAATTACTTGTTATAATATGTATTCTATAAGAGTATTATTTATACCACCCAACGATAAGTAAAGTTAATTATTATTTTGTTAATGGGAGTGTTAAAAGTTTATCGCACTTATACTAGCAACCTTTTGCTTTTCGATAGATTTTCAAGATAAGATGGAGGTATCAGTACGTATCGCGCATTCTTTCGTGAGCAGGAAACTTAAAACTCGAACCTACTTGAGCTAGTCCTTGCACTAGTAAATACAGCCTCTCACTCATGCTATGTCTTTATACATAGTTATAACTTAAAGTATCTACTATAGACATGTATACTTTAAATATATACAATTTAAAAAAGGAAACAGTACACTAATACTAATAATAAGCCCTTTTTATTTCCTGTTTTACAATAGTTGGTAGTTGCTATATTACAGTAACCAAAAATATTGATTTTTGTAAGTAGGTTAGCTTAGATTATGTTAGTTATAGATATATATTATTTATTTATGAATAAACAGGAACCCCCGGTTTGGGTATCGGCTTCCTCCAAAGATGCCCATTTTTGTCGTTCTTGTACCATAGAGTACCAGTTTCTGCCATCTGATCTTTTCAGATCATCTTCCCAGCGGTCTAAGGGTCTCCCCTTCCTCCTCTTGCCTGGTCCTTTTCATTGGGTTACTCGTTTGGTCCACCTTCTTCTACAAACCTACAGCTTCTGCTGTTGACATTCTCACTACATGGCCAGCCCATACTATAGACTATACTAATGTAGTTTTCATATAAGCTACTCCAGTACTTTGTTACTATCTTCTAAATAATTAATCGTAATGAATTTTAGATAAGTAGGAAAACACTCCTAATATTATTTAACGCCGATGGAGGATTATAATTCGACGAGATAATAATAAATAAATTAAAATATATTCTATTAAATTTATCTTTCATAATTTAAACACAACAATGCAGAGTGACATATGTAAGGAAATTCAATAGCTATTCAAAATCGTAAGGATAATTATTGAGAATTTTTATACATACGTCAAATACCGAGTAAAATTTTACTGCGTAATAATTATGGTAGGTACTATGAATAGTTGTACTGTTTTGATATCACTAATTGTTTATCAATAGTAAATTATAAGTACAGATAGAATATGTATTGACGTGTACTCAGTTTATTAAATATTTAATATACTAGCTGGTTGTGTTCATAAGGGTAAAGTAAATCTAGGAGTTTAGTAACTCAAACTCAAAATAACTTTATTCATATAGGTAACCAAGTACACTTATGAACTGTATGAAATTAAACTAGACATTGGACAGTAATTTTCAGAAGATTTAGTTGGTCTTTGAAATCGTAATACACAAGTAATATACATATATATAAAAAATTGGTGAGTCAAATTTTAAATGCATTTCTATTAGAAGTGGTTATATTTCTGATTTTCCCCATTCTGTTGTCTGTTCTCTTTTGAACTTTTAAATCTGTATTTTTTCATTTTTTATTTATATGGGCTGTTAGAAAAAAATTAAGAACAGCGAGTGGTTAGGTTATATTTTAGTTACTAAATTATCAAGATACGATTACTAAGAAATCCTTTTAACCGACTTCAAAATACACGAAGATTTCACAATTGACACACTGCTACAGTAATCCCGACCAATTCTTTCTTCTTCTTCGGTATCTATCAAACATTAAAAACGACTTCGGCGAATTTAATTAAAACAATTTATCCACAAAATACCAGTTTATAAGTCCTTATACAGATGACCTTAACAATCTAAATAAAGGTCTAATACACCCATCAATGCTTTGTGCAATTTAAACAATAAATTGTCTTACGAAGCTCTTCATTTAAACCTACGCTTAACCTTCGAAATTGGAAGACAAATCTTCAAAGCTACTTTAAATAAAGAGTATTAATTTAAAGTAGCTTTCAGGAGTAGGTACGATTTTTCAACCCCTAAACTAATTTTCTACAGAATTGACACGAAATACATGGAATCTATGCATATTTTCTGAAAAAGTTTTTTATTATAGTATACTAAAACCTGTCTTTGAAGTATTTGGTTTATAATAATAAAAGCCCTTTATTCGCTGACCTTTTTAACTTACATGCTATTCTTATTTAACAGTAGCATTCTTAAATCTAATTTACATAGCGAAAATAATAATTTATTAGCAACCACTTTGGTCAGGTTGTCTGTAGACATAGGCCTCCCCCAATTGTTTCCACGTCTCTCTATCCTTGGCAGACCTTCTCCGTCCTTTTGGTAGATCTTTTGGTTCATTTGGTTTATATAGCTCTCTGAATAAATGTAAGTATTACTGTTTACTAGTCCACCCTACTTCGTATGAAAAGGGTAAAAGTAAAATATCCTCGTACTAAAGTCGGATAACGACCCTTGTCAGTATATATGAATCACTATCAGGGTGAGAGTTAGAACGTTAACTGTAATCTTACCCTTAGCAGGAACTGTCTCCCGTATGTTACAATCCAAGATGTTTTTTACATTATGCTAGGCGTACAAACGCATGGGCCGAGCAAGGGTGTAAAGAATCTCATTTAGAATTTGGAAGCAACTCCCTTATTCGTTGCATAAAACGTGCCGTGCCCGCTGGTAATAAAGTGCACTTGGTCGATTTCCCGCTAATTCGGTAAATCACATAGGTAAGTGTGTCAGTAGATGTTAACGGCCATGTCCACGCAGCCGTGATTTCGATCCGGGTCGACGAGCTGCCACTGACCACAACGGACTCGGACTTATTTACTTTTGTCTTAAGTGAATCATAATAAGAGTTAGATTCCGTTAAACTGATTAATTTAAAAGTACGATAAAAAGTAATAAAAATAATAATTTTTTTGCTGTCTCGGGTCTCTGCACGTAACACAGCCAGATTTTGCGTCGTTCGCGCACGTAATTTTATTTGGAAAAAACAAAATCTACTTCTGTGCACGTAATGACACTGGCTATATTTTATTTTTACTTTATTTGGCACTATAATGCTATTCACGATATTACTGGATTAGTCTTATTCATTAACGTTCATGTTCATATAACTGTTTGATAACTTTTGTAATTTTCCTCTGTATATTGTGCATTCAGTGTATTTTTTGTCTGAGAGTGTTTGTATATTGAGTGCCTAAATAAATATCTAACTACAAAGTGACAGGAGACCGACAGGGAAGAGCCAGTGGCGCTAAAACCTTTTAAAGTCTCAGATATCTATCTGTTTCGTGATTATTTATTTTCCTAATAGGCAAGTAGCCATCACTGCCTGTCTGCTTCAGGATCAGGCTTGCTGGTTTTCTCACGATGTTTTTCTCCACGAGTGAGTGTTCAATACTCTCGTAGATAGTCTAGTGGTGCACAGCCGAGGTTTGAACCTACAACCTCAGGGATGAGAGGCGCATTTTAAAAACTGAGGCGCAGGCTAGACTAGACCAACACTATTCAACTTTAACAAAAATTAGAGGGACAAAACAACAAAATTGTAAGATCTTTTTGTAAATTTTCGAACCGGAATAATTTATTTCAAAGCACAATCTCCTCAAGGTAAATAAAGTTCACGGTCCAATATTCTTGCACATCACAAAACATGTTTAGTGCATTTATAATAAAATGGCGCAATTCATACGACTCGTCAGTAGTTACAGTTTATCTATTCAGTATTCTCACTGCTCTTGCATGCTCTCAATAGTCAAATGACCCTACGACACATATATAATCTAAGTGATAAATCCACTTACACTTATATAACAAAATGGTATTAATTAGGCAGGTAAGGTTCCTACAAAATAAAGTTCTCTTAAAATTTTTATGTAGGAACTACTAGAATCAATCTGAGGGGGAGATCTGGTACCCGTGCGCTTTACAAAAAGATGGTGGACAATATCACCATTATTATTAAGCCGGTATGCAGTGATAGCGGAGCCTTGTCCGCAACTCAACCTGATACCCAATATAGTCAGTATTCAAATGTGAATAGCAATTTGTATTACAAAATCATTGGTCAAGAACCGCGATTGATATCTTGTTTCAATCTCATTCATTGAAGAAATATTACCTCGGTCGCAATGGATCACAAAACTCGGCCAATCTGAATCGTGGAAATAAATATAATGAGAAAGTGTCGTAATCTAAATGAGACTAAGAATAGATTTTTCAATTTATTTTATAATAAGTTTTACTTAAATATTTAATAATCAATCTAGTGAGAGATTTAGATTAAAAATGCCTAACAGACGCATTTTTAAATATTGTTACCTATTAGATTTCCTATTGTGTATCTTTGTTATAACTATTAATAATCTTTACAATAAATGTTTTATACATTTTCTATGTATGTTTAATACGGTCCTAGTGACATTTTAGGGTGAGAGATTATGTAGAATTTACTTAATTGAGCGTTATTTAGGTTTCGATAGATTTCGGCGCTAATGATGGCTCCGAATAGATGAACCCAAGTGCTTGCACTATGTTGAACAAACATCTTGTTTATGCATTCCTGTATATTCATCGGATAACTTAGTAAGATGAAACACGTTTTTTTAATTCATTAGTTATACTTTACGTAACCTATATGGGGTCAACGTGCTGGTGTGAACCCTTCTCGATAATCTGTATTTATAAGAATACAATAATTGCATTATATACGTTGACTTCGCATGACATGATAGATTAATTAGTAAAATGATCTTTATAATTATCTAACAATTGCTTAGGTGATTATAAAAGATCGTGAAATGTATCGCATTTGCATATGGCATGTATAAATTAAAATATTTTCACAGTTAATTAGTTTGAAAAAGGCCCATGACGTCAAGTGATACCGTGAACACTCACACTGCCAGAAGGCTCGCAAGTACGTTGGCGGCATTTTAAGTATTGATATGCTCTATCTTGAAGGACCGTTAGTCGAATTGGTGCGGGTACACTTCAGTGGGTAAGTCCACAAAGTGGTTGTTGCGCGGCAAAACGTGCTAAACTTAGTACAAATTTCTTAATTAAATGTAAAAAAATGCATATGACCTGAAGCAATTTCATTTATAATAAGTTGGGAAAGTCGATTATGGAACTAACAAATAACAAATACTTAGTATTTCCGAACCATTTCGACTTAGGGTCCTTCAGAAAAGAGCGTACCAATTCTTAAACGGCCTGCAAAGCACTCGCGAGCCCTCTGGCATTCAGAGTGCCCATGGGCGGCGGTATCACTTAACATCAGGTTAGCCACCTGCACACTGTTCTATAAAACAAAACTTACTAATGTCCTAGCAAGCTCAGACTATCTGTTCCAAATGATTTTATCCCCCAGAAACGAACCCATAACCTCTAGACTAGCCTTGTGTAATACAGAAACAAAATCAATAAAACAAGACTATCGAAAAAGAAACCAGCATCTAACACGTAAATAATACGGAAATAAGAAAAATGATATACATCTATAGCTATTTATAAAAAGCCGGCAGTCTAACAATGGATTAAGTAAGAATAGCAGAAATGTATACTTTCACAACGTTCAATGTCTATATCTAGCTTTTAATTAAAACACAGTTAGTCAGCCAAATAAGGTTTTTTTTAGTTTAAAGATTGGCTTTATTTGTTCTTTATTATGTGTATCAAATTAAACATTAAACTAAATCAAATACGTTAAGACACTACTTTTCGCTATATTTAATGATAAAAATGTGAGCATATTAGGGAATAAGTAGAAACAGTGTTGTTCGTGTTGTGTATATTATACGCGTTCTTTACTTAAAGCAAACGTATCAAAATTCTATGCGTGTTGCTATCAGAATTGCAGCGGTGCCTACGAATACCTGAGGAAACTTTTTAGAAGTTTATGCTATGTATATATGCTTAGGCTGCGGGTGCGTTGGTGGGATGGAGTTGTCAAGGATCTCGAAACAATAGGGGTTCAGAGTTGGACGCAAGAAGCACTTAATAGATTGCGATGGCGAAATATACTGTATGACGATGACGATGATGATGATGATATATGTTATGAGACTCAGCGGGAACCGAGACTCCCGTATGTCAAAAACGTAATGAGATACGTCTCGAGTCTAAATGACATACATTAATAACCTAAATATTGTGATTCTAATATGTGGAAATAAATAACGATCATTCTACGATATATGTGCAAGTCTACCTAAGGCTTTGCGACTGATATAATGTACCCAATGCTCACTTACGGGTACAACCTTGTTTTTTCTCCGACATAATCTAAATTCTAAAGAGTTTAACTTGTCTATGACCTTGTTTGAAACCAGGTACCTTTAAGCTTGCTGAAAAATAGTTTAATGCAGTTGTTTCAATTCATATTATTTAGTTAGTCTATACATTTAAGTTATTCTACTTTAGTGATACTAACGAAGAGCAAGTAAGTAGTAGGTTCTTAATTACTTAATACCCGAATCGAACATATCAAGTAGATTCATACCTTTCAAAAATTGGAAATAATTTAGATTTTATTTTTGTTATTGGTTTGTGGACTCAGTTTCCGCACTTAGACTCTTTTAGAATAGGTCCGTTGTGCGTAAAATCCTGGCTAACTTAGCCAGCCTAACTCCTTCCAAAAGGACACAAGTCTCCTGGGTGCTTCGCAGGCTTCACGAAGCGATCTCACTGTTCCGAGGATTTCTGCACGTTGTTTAGCCACAGCCTCGCATTTCAGGATTACGTGGGTGACTGATTCCTCTGCGCTGAAAGCTGTCTGTCGCGCCTAGGACAAAAGGATGTTTATTAAGGAGACTGTGACCCGTAATTGTCACTATCATTGTTTTAAGATAAGTTCTGTTTAGGTTTAGAAGTCGCTTTGTCAATTGCGGGTTAACTGCTGGCAGAGCCATTTTGATTGCAGTCCGCGCTTCGCGACCATCGTTGATGTTGGAGTTCTGCAGATCTGTGGCGAATCCAGGTTCGCACTTGCGAGAAGGGCAAGGGAAGGAGCGGATACGGGCCAACAGGCATCATTCCGGTGCCTCTCCTCGCAAGTTCGTTGGCAGCATCATTGCCGAGAGATCCACTATGTCCCTTTATCCGCTGTAGGGTAACTCTGTTTGTGAAATAATTTCGATTACTACTTACATAACATTCCATATACAAATGTATCTCTTATTAATAATGCCAGTGAAACTATTAAACAATGCCATGTAAGGCATCAAAAGAAATCATATAAGGATTGACCACTCACAAGAAAGATCTCTTCAATATTCGTCAAACTATATACAGTCGCTTTCAATTTTTTAACTCAAATGGGGTCATGTTACTAATTTGTGTCTTCAGTCAAATAATACAGGTGTAACGAATTTCTTGCGGTTGAAAGTGAGGGCGTTCGCATTATTCGCTACGGAGAACTCAATAAAAGTTGACTTACGGTAAATAAGCGCGAAGCACGAATCAATTATATTTTCATACTATCGATTTTATTTTGTTTCCTAGAATCTTAACTAAGAATTTAACGGTTAGCATTCTAAGATTCCATTTTTAAATAAAGGCTTTTCTAAACTATTCAAATACGTATAAATAGTAAATTTGGGTTTTCAAGTTCATCAAACTCGACTTTACACACGTACAGTGAAGGAAAACATCGTGAGTAAACCGGTATGTATGTCTTAGGTCCAAAAGTCGACGTCGTCAGGCACAGAAGGCTGATGACCTACTTGCCTATTTTAAAAAACAAATGAACACGAAAGCGATTCAGAAATCTGAGGCCTAAACCTAAAAGGTTGTAGCGCCACTACATCGAAATCAATATCTTGGAGTAGTGTTTTCATATTTAGATAATTCTTTCATTTGCTTGTTATAAATAATACGTTTACGCTCAAGACGTATTTTGGTTAAATTAAAACAAATGCGGAATGTTGGCCTATAGGCTATGTTGCCGCAACAGAACCAATTTCAGCACCTGGCATTTGCAAATGGCAGCTAATCTGCTTTTATATTAAAAGGGTTTGGTATTCAACAGAATAAACGTAATGAAAATATTATGATGTTAAATAATTATATTTTATGATCACCATACAAATTTATATTCCATGAAAATATAAAGTCCGCAACGTAATAAAGTATTACCTATTTTTTTTCTTCATATTTTATGCGATTTCATTAAAAAATTACGCTCTTAATTAACGTCGTGAAATATTTAACTGTGTCATTAGTTACTTGGGACAGTTTCATTCTTACGTATTATGTTAAGTAACACTCATAATTGCTTTAGTTGCACTTTTGTGAGCATAATATTTTTTTATTTTGTTTTCGAAATAATAAAGCTTCCTATTATGTAAAGCGTCTTCTTTCAGACACTTTTGTTCTTACAAAATAGGTCCGTATAGCAGATATAGCTATATATACTCATGAGGTCTCGGGGATAAATCCCGGATGGCGCTAGAAAATATAAAACACCATTGGGTGTCCTGGCAGAATTCGAACTGTGTTTCGGATGACGAAAACCTGTCGAACTTGTGCCTAATTTCGCGACACTGCGATGTTGTTGAACATCCCAAGTAACAATTGTACCAAGGCCTAATCGTGTTACAATACCTTATAACTAGACCAAAACGTCTCCCAGACTACGAAATTACAATAATTTTTTCAACTAATTATCAAATAAGTCCGTATATTTTAATTAGTTTGAGTTTTATTTTTACGTATAATCTGTGCATGATGATCCCATAATTAAGGCAATCTTTGACGTTTATATTTCATAATGACGTCTTGTTTGCGTGTTTTTTAATTATTTATCTGCATAAAAGACATCAACGAACAAGCTGCAGATTATTATTTTATGCTATCCAATGTCAAACATGTTTGTTTAAACACACCAAAACTTGTTTAAATAAGAACACGATTTCCGATTCTAATATTTTATTAGTATATGAGTCAATCTCCTTATTGTGAAAGTTGTACCCTAAAACCTCCTTGCAAAACGAGTTTTTATTAATAAAAATTACAATTTTATTACGGATCATTAAATGAGAGTGAAAAGCATGTATACTTAGTTCAATTATTTCTTGAGAAATTACTTTCTACAATCATTACAAGCTTTACAATTATTGATTTAAAATAAAGATCTGTCCCACCGTTTCTCGACATTACTCATGATACTGAAAAATGTTTTTATCCACTTACGATTATTAATACATAAGTTAAATAAAAAACTGCATTACATTAGACCTTTTATGTTAGTTTTCTAAGAATAATTTTCACTTTCTATTCCAGCTCGGTTATGGGTGGTCACGTAATGGCCAGCGGCGATGTAGGCACCGGCCAGAATCCACGATGTCTGTTAGTAGTGATATTAGGTTCACTCGTCGCAAATTGAGCCGACCTTGCAGAGGATGCTGTGCGGCCATCGCTGCCCTACTTGTGTTATTGTTACTCGCCGCTGTCGCCGTCTACCTCGGACGTATGTATTTCAATATGATAGTTATTATATTTATTTCCAACACATTATTATACAGTATTAACAATATTCTTAAGCTACAAAGATAGACATTAAGAAAATAAAACCAAATTTAAAAAGTTTGGTCGCTGTGGCAATGTACCTTTAATGCTGGAAGCATTTCCTCGCTGTATTGCGAGACTTATTCGTTGACCGAGCAAAGCATCAGCACTGGGGTCACCGGTTCTATCTACCCGGCGCTAACTTAAATCTGTAACTAGCGCCTGTGCACTTGAACCCCACGGCCCGAGAGTCTCTAGTCTCTACTCCAAAGTGAACAAAATCACATCAAAATCAATCATTCCATTTTAAAACACGTAATTATAGCAGCTGATTTATTTTAACATCCGTACCTACTCAGAATTTAATAATAAACAGATACTTAAAGCAAAGTAAATATTGCAATTACTTCACCTTAGAGCTAATTGAAAATTAAAGATTTTTAATAATTATAAATCAGAATCGCACATTTAATTTCGTAGCAGAGTTGCACCGTTCATTCATTAAGGAATTCTTCATTAATCTATTAAACTTAATAATTTTAAGTCAATTTAGTACGTTTATATTATAGTTTTACTTAATCATAACTAAATCTAATTGCACCATTTTAAATGAAGAACTCTTATCTCTTTTTATAACACTGTGAACCCAATTTGTTAGACAGAGACAAAAGATAACTTTAGTAAAAAGATAGCAATTCGACTGATCGAATAATGTTTAGGTCTGAGCGATTAGCAATTACATGAACTAATTTTTTATACCTTAGCTTTAAAAAATCCTTGAATTTTTTTAATGAGACAATTACTCGTTTAAATATATTGTATGTTCATATATTTGGAAGTACATTCTTATCTCCAAATCAGTGAGATAGTTCAGTATTTTCTCAGACCGTACGACATTTAAGTTACGCCCGTCACCGCAGGAAAAGGCCAAGCGATCGGCCTTGCATTCGCCACAACAAGTGAATCGATATACTTTGTTCGATGAACCTATTCAATCAGTATAATAAAAACGGGTTTTATTGCTAAAATGGCCTAGTTACCGCAGATTTAAGATATATTTCGCTTGCAGACAAAAGCATCTTAGGATTTTTTTAAATCTAACTCACGCTGCGCACACATTTGACAATTAACGTTTTTATTCATAAATGTAGTCAAACCCTTTGAATGTATTCATTTTTGAGTAACTAATAAGGAATTAACATCCAATAGTGTGATGTATTTGAATAAGTTAATATTTTGAGTATTTTATTACAGATATGTACCTTTTTGGAGACCCGTTGAACCGGCAAGCGTTCAAGGGTTCGTTTATAGTATCTTCCTGGAGTTCAAAAGAGGATTTATCAATGAATTTAGCTGACAATAGCACTCGAGAATCAGAGTTACAGCAAATATTATCTGATGTGTACAGCCAGTCTGAGCTACGATCATGCTTTGTGGGTGCGGACATATTGGCGTTAGATAAGTGAGTTAAAATTTTTGTATTTATTTATTTTAAAAAGCCTCACTAACGAAACACATACAGACACAAACAGAGAACGAACACGACATATAAAAACACAATAAGAGAAATTAAATAATAAAAATAAACGATAGTAAACTAGATTTAAATACATATTATTTTTATATTTCTGTTCGTCTGAATCAGTACATCGATCAGTCATAATATTCTCCTCTAATGAAGTAACATGAAAATGATGATTGTTTTGGCTTATTTGTGTACGTGCGGATAATTATAACTTGATTAGACGAAGCATCGTAAAAAAAATATTATAGAAGAAAAAGACTTATCAATATACTTATATTGTCACTGTAAATTATTTTTCAAGGAAATTATATTTTTTATAATAAAATCTAAAGCTACTAAAGTAGGCTTTATGATTAGTTGTGTTACATTACACAGAGCTTCCAGAAAAGCACAAGCTAATGTGTTTTTAAATTCAAAAGCAGCACGTTCTATAATAAGCTTAAAAGCTTAACTAGGAACTGACTGAATATTATCAACAAGTTTGTATGATATAACTTTAAGCGGACAGCGTCGATTCATGGTCATGGTAAACTACTTTCAATATTATACAAAGAAAATGCATCTTGCCGTAGGGTGAACCAGCTCGCAAACACTAATTATGCCTTACCGCATACGAATATTATGAATTCAATGTGAAAAAGAAAAAAAATTGTCCCTTTACTGACGTCATGTCTTTCGTTTATTTACCTTCACATCTTTACCGATAAATATTACATATTTCAATATGCAGTCAATCAATTCAAGGTTTATAACATTTTTGTCATACAGCACGCTTAAAGCTATTTTAAAACGATCTATTAATAAATATATAGGCCCATTCCATTACTATATCAAGATAACATATAATTTGGTTATTGCTTTGTGGACTCAGTTTCCGCACTTAGACTCTCAATAGGTCCGATGTGCGTAAAGTCCAGGCTAACTAAGCCGGCCTTACTCGTTCCAAAAGCACAGAAGCCACCTGGGCACTTCGCACGCTTCACGGAGCGACCTCACTGTTCCAAGGATTTCTGCACGTTGTTTAGCCACAGCCTCGCATTCCAGGATTACGTGGGTGACTGATTCCTTTGCGCTGAAACAGCCTCTGCACATGGGGCTGTCTGTCGCGCCTAGGACAAAAAGATGTTTATTTAGGAGACAATGGCCCGTAATTGTCCCTATAGATAACATATAATTAAGAAATAGATTGTTTTGCAATATGTAACAAGGCATAATAGCAGACAATAAGTCACGACAGTAAACAACTTTGCGGAATCAATGTTATTTAAGTTTGAAATTTACAAATGCATATGCGTACCTAGTTTCGTAGTAATAAATGATGTATTTGAGTATTCTTGCAATTTGTTGGCCACAAACTAAATAGATAAACGGGTGCTAGGTTTCTTTTAATGTATAGTTTAAATTTACATACAAATTTAGCCACAATCCAGAATGGATTGAAGATTTAACCCTGGTAATTGGAGAGTCGGCTGAATATGTTCACAGAATTATGGATAATATACATCAAATATTTTATTGTATTAATTATACTGATTAATGGAATGATAGATGTAAACACATATTAAATTTAAAATAGTCATCTGTGTTCTAGTATTCCTGGCGCCTGCTGATTCAATGGAGTAATGGTGCATAACGGAAATGCATTAAAATGCAATTCGTCTCACTATTACTGTAATTGTCGATTAGTGTTTTGTATTTCCAAACTGTGGAATATTAAGGCTAAAAAAGATTCATCAACTCTCTTGCTTTACGCGTTTTGGGGAAGGCGTAATTTTTGATAAAAGCTTAAAACTTCTCCGATAATAATTTTTGTTTCCGACATTTCCTCTATGGTATCCGTGTTAACTTAATAAAAAAGAAGTAATTGAGGCTGTTTGGGTACACCGTAAACATGCCGCATGTTTAAACAGTTATGTATGTGCACTGTATATTATGTATGTGTGTCAAAAATGGCGACACTGGTACAAAATTCAACTTATTTTTTTTACCTTATTATCCATTCTGGTTAAAATACATAGATATAACAAATTATTAGAAGGGAACTAAAGCGCCATTAGTGGTACAAAACTAGGCTAAATTTTCAGTAGCATGGGAAAGTTCTCGGATTTACTTTTTGAAGAAACCTTAAAAACAATTTTCATCAGGTCATGAAAGTGACCAGTAGTAAAATCAAAATTTCTATTAGCTCGTAGAGTTCCATGTGTTTTAGGAAATATGACCTCAGTAAAATAAATCATGCGCAAGTATCGCACGTACGAACATGGTAATTTAAATTAGAGAAAGTTAGCTTTCACGAATTGAGATGGAGCGTGTTGCAGGGCCATTAGGTACCGAATACATGAATGCTATATTGATCTCGTTTGATCTTGAGATCAGATATGATTTATGACATTTTAAAAATGGAATCTGTAATCAATAATTTCTATTATATGCTTCAAGCTCAGATACAAATCTGCTACTGATTTTACGTAATTGGAACTAAATTCGTTTTGAATTGTTTTTGGACATAGATTGCATAAGCAAAATGATTATTTTTAGAAAGTCTCCTTCAACATACAGTTACAATAAAAAAATACATAATTCTATTGTAAAATATAAACTTCTGTGCTAAATATAGTTGCGTAGAATTTTGATTAAATGCAGTCTGCGACCTTCCTCTGTACTAGATATCTATTTATGTGTATCAATATGATTTTCTTACTTTAACGATAAAAGCTGTATTCGCTTTTATCACAATATATTTTATCTACGAAATATTCGGGTATATACGATAAACTTTCTCAGACAAAAATGTCCTCTCCTCTCCAATCTTGAAAAGCATTTAGAGAAAAAAGCCCACAACTCTCCGGATCCTACACCAAAACCTATTATGATCAATTCAACATTTAGCCATTTCAGGCTTTCGTATTCACAATAATACGATACGTGGAATATGCCTATTGTTTTAACGGCACAGTTATTTAAAAACCGGATATTATTTTCGTTTTGTTTTACTTAAAATACGTGCACACGTTCTACTTAAAAATTTAGCTCGTTTTTAGTATTCTTCACGTACAATTCCGCAATCAGTGAATCAGGCCACCGAAAGAAAGGGCTAACCTTGAATGCGGCTTAAACACGAATTGCATAGAAAGTACAGAGCTTAGAAATACGCATAAAACTTTCTCGAGTCAATCAATAATTCAATGTGTCATACTAGTTGCCATATCTCATAGAATAATAACCCATATATTATTATATATTACATGCATACAATGAATATAATGTCTTATTCATAAATGTAGTTAAATGGAGTATGTACAATAATAAAATAAACCTTTTATCTTTTTACATGGTAAATATAAAGTAAATATGCCTAAAGTAATATAATAGCCTCTATCACTCAGCAGCTTACAGCTTGTCCTTCGACAAAGGTCTCCTCTAAATTTTTCCAACCTTGGCGTTCTCCAGCAGTGCGAATCCACATTGGACCTTTTTAATCGTCCTCTTATCGTCTTATCTGCCTGCGTCTGTTTCGTTTTTAAAATATAATAGATCAAATTAATTTATTTAATTCTTATTGAACATACACGTATGAAATGTTAAAAAAAATCATAGATCTAAATTTACTTTTACTACCAGTTCCCAAATTAAGGACGAAGAGCGGGCGAGACGATACGTAGAAACACGACTACGAGATACTGCTAATACGAGTTGTGTACTAGTGGTAGTGCGTTTTAGCCCCAACAGTGCTTTTCTATAATATATCGTAAGCTTATGGTGAAAGAAGGAAATCGGCATGTCTTAAGTTTAAAAATCGATGACGCATGCCACCAACTCGCAGTTTTTGTGTTGTTTTTACATTGAAACATATATAAAAGATTTAAAAAAACATAATAATTTAATTGACTTCAAGTAACATTCACTTAGTAAAATCAAACATACAGTATTTACATTTTTCTTACATAGTTATAATAAATATAATTAAAAATTAATAAAAGAAATTTAAAAAGTTTGGCCCTGCGCTAAAGGTACTCCACCTTTAACGCTGGCAGCATTTCCTCGCTGTATTGCGATACTTATTCGTTGAGCGAGGAAAGCACCAGCTCGGGGGTCACCGGTACTATCTACCAGGCGCCAACTTAAATCTTTAATTAGCACCCGTGCACTTGAACCCCACAGCCCAAGAGTCTCTACTCCAAAGGGAACAACATCGAAGTTGGAGGAAAGACTATATTTAAGTCGTTTATTATTTCCCGACTGCTCTGCATACAATTATTGCATTTTCACGTTTTTGTAACACAAATTTTGTACATATCTAATGTATTATGTTTAATATATATAGTGTTACTTATTAATATAAGTTTCTTTTTAATTTTAGTGCAGATGAAGGAACTCGAGTCCACTTTGAGGTGTCATTTGAGCCGATTTTTACAGCGGTTAGTACACCTGCGGTCATCGACGTTATGGCACAGGCTCTACTTACACCTTACTTCACTGGTCTGGGTGCAGTTCCTGATACATTACATATAGAAGTAGGTAACTTGACTATTTTCTATAAATTGTTTATGTGTATATACCTAATGTGCAAGACATCAATCAAAATAACATTAGTGAGAACGTTGGTATTAATGAGTTTGTTACTTTATCGACTTAATAGTTTTTTTTTTATTTTGTTGCCTGGATAAGATCGCAATACACGTGACGAAAAAAATGTATTTTGTCAATAGACAAAGGCAAATTTTTTAAAACGTGCATGTCGTATTTCTGTATACCTTTTAAAGAAAAGTAATCAAACATTAAAAAAATTGACGAAGAAAACTGCAATTTGGTGTTGACACAGAACCACAGCATATAATCTAAAATTTCTATTATTTCTATTCTAGGAAAGCTCGGTGATATCATCCGAAGCGCTCAAAGAAAGTGAAACCACAACAACCGAGGCGGCAACAACTGAGACCTTATTAGAAGTGGAAGAGGAGTTGCGAGAGTGTTCACAATTGGCGTTATCACTTTGCTCGCATTTACCATACAACATAACAACCTATCCAAATCTAGTCGGTCACGCGTCCAAGGACGTTTTGTTGCGTGACCTCGTTGCATTCAGGGAACTATTAGATGCGGAGTGTTCTTATCTTGCGCAGGTTAGATATAATATACGTTTAGTAGTACACTATTTAGTATTTAAAATACTATTCCAACTATATACTTCTGCTCCAAATATACCTCATTATTTAAAATGGGAATATGTAATGTATGCAATAGCGAAGTAATGAGGGGGCAGTCTTATGCCCAATCAATTACAAGAAACGTTTGAAAGAAATGTAATGAAAATCTTTATTACCTATTCATGGTAAAACAGGGCAATAGGCTAACAAGGACTTACACTTTTTTGGAATAGAATAGGAGTACAAACGACCTTGCGATTCACAACTGCGGCCCATATACACTTGAATATAAATGTTGCATATACTACAAAACTCACCAAGTATTTATTTAATTTTCTACGTATATATATAAGGTTTATGAAATATTTTCAGGACTTTGTGTGCCAAATGCTACAGCCTCGATGTGAGGAGAGACACTTAGTCTACCCGTGTCGCGCATATTGTCGCGCCTTCCACGCGGGTTGCGGCGAACGACTCCCCGACCGTTTGCGACCACATTTTGACTGTTCTCGCTTTCCTGACTACCACGGCCCTGGCTCGTGTGCGCCAGAACCAGGTATGTTGTAAAACCAATTCATAATTTGTTTGTATGTAATCAAAAATCACGTATAACTGGATAACAGAAGCAATTTAAAGCAAAATATATTTATTTATTTGTTTATATATTAACACTTCATTGTTAACGCACAACGGACCAATCAGGAGTCTTATTGCGGAAAAAGGAGTCCTACAACCCTAACCCTAACACTTCGTTGAATTGACATAATGAAAAATTGAACATAATTAAATGAAAAGGAGGACAAGTGGTGGCCTTATCGCTTTCGAGCGATCTCTTCCAGGCCACCACTCACAATATATATGTATATGTAAAAATTACATGACAAACTTAGCAGCCTACATTTTGTCATATCTCATGTTATTCAAAGTGTAAGTTTTTTTTTTTCAAAGTGAATTTCTCCATTTTACTTCCGTGAATTGAACAGGTTAATTTAAGCGTTCTAACTGTAAAATAGAGTTAGTGGCAGATCTAAATGACGTAATACTTATTCATTAATAGCGTCTTCCGATTTAATGTAAAAAATGCTAGGCTAGACAAGTGTATATACTTTTTTGTTTATAATTAGATTGTCGCGGAGGCCTGCAGCGGCTTGCTCTATCAAGACGTGCGTGCGACGGAATACCAGATTGCACGGATGCTGCTGATGAACGCAGTTGTTCTCACTGCGCAGCCGCCGGTACCGACAGCATTCGATGTGCGCTCAATGCTAGGTGCCTACCGCCACATTTGCGCTGCGATGGTACACCTGATTGCGCTGACGGTAGCGATGAAAGTGGATGTTGTAAGGACCTTTTACTATATGCAAATACAACTTTGTTTTTAGTAATAGTACTAAAAAAGTAAAAAAGTACATACAACACATATCGCAACCAATTTCCCGATCCTTAATAGAGTCTTTAACGTGAATTAAGTTCGGTGGCGGTTGTTGTATGGATATGTTCAAATAAAACAAATTGTTTGACGCTGGGTAACAACTAAAACATGAGCTTATAACTAAGATAACATTAGGGATAGTGGGGTTGCGACGCTGGATTAACAACTGGACTTATTCAAGAGCTCGTAAATCAAAGTGACACTTATCGGAAACGAGAATGTTAAATTACAATTTATGATTGTGGTAAAGACTAAAGGACTCATTTTGGTGCGAAGTATGCGATGATTGCTTACATTTTGTTTACGCTTCTAGTAAAATATGTAACTTTAACCTAATGTTAGGTTAGGTTAGGTTACATAACTACATAACTCGTGTCATGGGCAAACCAAAATAAAAGCAGTTTTGATTGTTGTATAACCAATTACTAAAATTTCAAATACTAATCGCCTCGTATTTTGTAGTGTGGGTATCTCGATCATTAGCCGCTTGGAAAAGGGAGAATGGCGAGACAACAATGGGAGCGGTAAGAACTCGGGTCGGTTACGCCGTGTGGGCAGAAAGGGGACGATTCGGAAAGATCTGTGCTACGCCGTATGAGAATGACAAAAGAGCCCTAATGAGCGTCGCAACATCATTATGCACTGCTCTTACTTACAAGTAAGTATATTATATAATAAGATGAGTCAGTAGGTCAAGGATGTCGGACAACAAAATCAACTACACTTAGTTCTAAAGTTTCGGCTGCATTAGTTCTCTAAACTTTTTGTCTTAAAAACTAAACCCATGTCCTTCCTAAAGAATTAAAAGCGATATCTGAGCTACGCAGACAGTAGTTACGTGTTATTACGTAGCCGATACTAAATAAAATATGGTGGAAGGGTAAATAATCACCAACTTCTTTTCATCAGATCAGCAATTACTGCAGAAGCTGTCCCTGATGCCGAAGGGGATTCTGAAGACGATCTGGAAAATAAAATCAAACCGGAGTACGTGGAAATAGTCAACCCTGCTGCGGCTGAAATTTCATTTATCAAAACTGAGTGCCCAGAGAGAAAAGTCATAAAAATTGTCTGTGACCAATTAGGTGAGTAAAAAAAACAATTTTATTTAAACAAAGTAGTTATTGAACAAAATATAATTCATACGCATGTATTTTAGAATGTGGTGTACCATCAGCGCGAGGATTAAATGCAGTTAAAGGAGTTGAGGGTTTATCAAGATCAGCGCACCCTGGCGACTGGCCGTGGCATGCCGCACTACTTAGGTCCCACGTTCATGCCTGTGATGCTGTCCTTGTACATTCATTATGGCTTATTACTACTGCATCTTGTTTTCAGGTCAGTCTTAAACCCAATAACGACTACTACTTGTTTATAACAAAAAAAAGTGCGTGCGTACAAAGTACACATGTCAGAAGTGAAACTTCTTTGACTTATTTTTAACTCTTGTTCATATTTATTCAATTCTAAAACTTTAGATTTCCGAGACTTAGACTGAGGAACAAGGAAGATATGTTAGGAATTTAATGAATTTCTTCGATAATAAAAACAAACAAACAATTAATTTTCAAGAATTCGCCATTTGAGATTTCAATAAATTATTTTGCATAAAATATAAAATACTAATATTTCATAAATTCTCTCTACGAAAATTTCATTTTAAAAATAGAATTTCTACGAGTATAAGGTAATTCACCCTTCTCACTCTCTCTCAATCGGTCTCAATCGCTCTCTCCCTTTTCTTCGACAAAACGCTGCACATCTTCGTGTCGTCAAATTTTACCCTCATGCGTCTAAAGAAGTTTCACTTCAAAAATTTATTAGAAAAGAGATATAACCGAGATATTTCTCGGAAATAAATATAAAAAGAAAATAAATATGAGTTTCCGATTAATTACTTAAACCTACAATCAATCCATTTCATTACTAAAAAAGTACAATTATAAGATACTTGAGTCTTGACCCTACCCTTTACATTTGAAATAATAAAGAATAATTTCAGGGACAACCAAAGGCTGAGTGGACAGCAAGATTAGGAACTGTGCGCATTCAGAGCACGTCACCATGGCAACAAGAACGACGAATTGTTGGGATGATTCGTTCACCAGTTGAAGGCAGTATGTTGGCATTGGTTCGACTAGAAGAACCTGTGGAAATGACTGACTTTGTCAGACCAGCTTGTTTACCCGAAAACGGTTTCCACGCACACAATCAAAGTGTTTGTAACACTCTCGGTTGGACAAGAAATAGAGACCAATTACAAAGAGTGCATGTTGTAACAACTTCTATGAATACTTGCGAAAATGTTAGCATAGCTACTGGAAATGGAATTTGTGCTGAGCCGCTGTACGATCAAGATGATTGCGATGTGAGTAATTTATAAATGTAATTTACTAACGAATAGCAAATATACTAGAAGATAATAACGTTATACCGTTAATAACACTAGTCTGAAATAAACTTTTCCTAAATACAGATTTTTCCAATTAACGACAACTCTTTGTAACGTCAAAATAAGCACAGCTAGGGCATCGAAACTCGGCCAATTTTTAAAACCCGGTTTTTCGTCTCTCAAAAAATACCGTCCCTTGAGCATTTGTCGTTACATTGAGTTTACACTATAATTTAAATTAAAAAACAGTTTTATTTTAAAAAAGGTTAAAAAATTTTTTTTTTATTTGGATGCCATTAAAAGTTCGCGAAACGTCAAGAATTTTGATCACGTGATAGATAAAACGTATTAAATATTTTGACACAGAGAACTATATTTCTATTGTATCAGTACGTAAGTTTATAATATTCATATTTACAGGAAGAGGAGTATGCCGGGAGTTCAATGATGTGTTTTGATGAGAAATCTAAACATTGGTCGCTGTTAGGTGGTGTTGCCAAATCAGTTGCACTTGCACTGCTTTCAGTTCTCTCATTTTGAGTAGTTGAGAAGTTTAATCTCTTCTCGTCTCCTTACCAATACAAATGTTTTTCCATTTTATTTTTCAAAATTACCCATATTGTAGGGTTCTTGGTTTTTTTGTCCTTTTCCATTCGCACCGATGTGTCTTCATTTCATCCATTTTCTAATGCAAATTTTAACTCTTATGTTCATCCTATACTACACATTTTATACATCATATTTTTATCTATTTTATTTTCCATCATCATATAATACAATATCTGTTTTTAAATCCATTAAACTTTTATTTAAAAAATCATCACGCAACACCCAACCAATTTCACCTCCCTCTCTTCAATTCTTTTCTTCTTTTTTTTTTTTTTCCCTGGAAATCGTTACGATCCTCCCCGCATGGTTGACCTGGGGAAGGGGGGATGTGGGACTCGCTTTGTGCATACCCACTAAAACCCCACGGCGCCACCAGCATTCGCTCGGGGAAAATTGGTCCTTAGGAAGCCACGCTGGGCCAGAATTTATGATGCTGTTACATCACATGTTGATTGGATTCAGAAGACTATATTAAACTCTTCCAGATGACCTATTACCCGAATTTACTTGTGATTAAGACTGCTTTAGGAAAGATAACAATATTTCAGAATCATAATTTATGATCATAATATGAATTCAAATAGTTTTTACAACAAATCAAACCAGTTAAAAATACATTTGTACAATGAGAGAAAAATATTAAATTACTTTAATAATGTATATTATACATTTTTCTAGTTGTTTGCCCCCCCATTTAATCATGTCTTTATAGATACCTGACATAGAAGTCTTAGATTCAAGGTTTTTGCTCGGTGGCTTAAACTAAATAAATAACAATAACTAATGTTTTAAACACCCCCCCCCCCCCCCTTTTTTTTTTACCCCGCCCGGGTTTTTCCCCCCCCCCCCCCCCCCCCGGCCGGTTTTGCCGGCGGGGGCCCCCCCCCCCCCCCCCCCCCCCCCCCCCCCCCGTGGTTTTTTCCCCTTGCAATATCTGTTAATTTATTTGGATGCCATTAAAAAGTTTTTTTTTTTTTTTTTTAATTTTTTTTTTTGTATTTATAATTTATATTTAGGAGAGGAGTATGTGGAGTTAATGATGTGTTTATGATTTTAACGTTGTGATTCAAAATTAACCAGAGCCATGATTAAATTATTAAACTGCTTTGGAGATTATCAGAATTTTATATAATATGAATTAAATACATTTGTACAAGAGAAAATATTAAATTACTTTAATAATGTATATTATACATTTTTCTAGTTGTTATTTAATCATCTTTATAATACTGACATAGAAGTCTTAGATTAGTTTTTGCAATATCTGTTAATTTATGTATAAGGTTGTTATAATTTTTAATATTGATAAAATTGAGTATTAAAACCATGAAGCCATGATATAAATATTAAATTTAAAATTATCTTTTGTTAGAATAATAAGTATTGAATTGTTTAAAAGATGAATTTTTTAATAGTTTGTAATTTTATATCTTAAAATTACTTATTTAGAGATACCAAACAATTGAAAAATTCACTTCAAGTTTAATAAGGTGTATCATAGCAATTTAATTACAAGTGTAAATATTTTTTACCAAATTTAAAAAATAAAAACTTGTTTACTTGTTAATTTCTGTTGTTTATCTTAAAATTATAAATTACCTACCATTGCCACACAAACAATATGATTAATTTTATTTGTGATATATAATTTAATGGGTTCAAATATCCTTAATAGTTCTGGTCTCACATTTTGGTAGTTGCTTTATTATTCATTTTTCTTGATAGGCGGAACATGATTATAGATCTGTGCTTAAAACACATTGTTAATTTCTAGTTTACTAAGGTCAAAGGCTTTAAGATAGACCTATTATTAAAATTATATATGTATAATTCAATATAAAATGTTTGTTGAATTAAAATAACTAAATAATCATATAAATATTTATTTACAATAGCATATCTACAACATTGTTATTATACTGTACTATAAAGTGTCTTCATTTTTTTCCTTTTAATACACCTTCTTCCGTCAACTCAGACCTAATTTTTTCTTGAACATTTATGGGAAGATTTTCTAATTCTTTGTTTATGTAAATATGTAAATCCACCAAAGGTTTATAGTGGTTATGAACTATTTGTGATCCTGCTAGCATTGATAGCATTGCTGCTACTGTAAATGAAATATACTGACCCCAAGTGACACCTGCAGGCATCTTATTGCGACGAATATTTTTCGATTTTCTCTTCAACAATTGTTTTAGCCTGTCGCCTTTTAAATGTATTATAGAAATTTATATCTCCAACTTTCCACTTAATCATAGAAAATTCCAAAGCACCTCCAAACACAAAAAATATTGGCAGAAACCTGTATAAGCCTAAAGTTTTCTTTCCAGGAAAATGATTGACGAGTTTATAAATCCAACCTATTCGCATTTTAGATTAACATTACATCACACCCAAATCTCAAAAGTTGCTGCTTAAACCAGCTGTAAATTGTAAATGCAGTGACAGTTAATATTATTTTTTAGGTCACTTTAAGTAATTGCTTTTGTAAGTAGCTATATAATAACTATACAAAATTTGACTTTGTAATTCTTGAAAACGTTCTCGACTCTCCGCTCTCGTAGTTAAGACTTTAGTTAAGTCCTCAATTCTCATATATACGAAGGTACTCTGTGATCACTATTTATTTGTTTCCTCCACTTAGTCTGTGAAAGAAACAAATAAAAACAGAAGACTTCTGACTTAGACTGTGAGACTGTAGGGATGGACATTCTGCATTAAAAAAAAACGATTTTTTAT